CTTCACAGCCCGCAGATTGGCATCTCTTTTCATTCGGTCTTCACCGCCCCCTCGACAATCGGTGCAGCAACTGTAAACAGGGTCCGCCGGGTCGACCCAACGCCGACGCAAACCTGCATTCTTCTCACTGTTCCTTGCCGTCCTGACCGTGTCCAATCATTTTGTTCTGCATACTTTTCGGGCGTGACTAGCAAAAGTTATGGGAAGAAGGGTCCGCCCTCGCTTTTCAATGTGTGCTGTGTGACCTAACAGGACTGACATCCGTTCCAGATGTGAGGTGCTCTCAACAAACCCATTCACCTTCCATCAACAACTCCAGCACCTGATACTATCTGGCTTCTGTTCCTGAGCTCATCCTTCGATGCAATCGTATTGTTCCTCACGCTTAACCCTAATTACTCCTCTGCTGTTGGGCTTCTTTCGCGAACCCTCACTCTTCTAGGGCATCGGTCTCGTCGTTAGCCCCAGCCTCGTCTCGTAGCTTCAAGTCGAACAAACCTTGCCGCTAACTACTACGAACTTGCTGTTTCTTTCGCAATGGAAGTCTTTCTCACCAACGTGCCTTGGCAACTTACGGATCGAACTCTGGAGAAGGAGCTTAGGCCGCACATGAAGGCTCTCGGCATTCTTGAATGGGCAGGCTCGACAAAGAACAAAAACAACAATGGCTGGGTGACGTTCCTCAACGCAGAAGACGGAAAAAGCTTCCTGAAACGTCATGGAAAGGAGACTCTCTCTGATGTTGGGGCTACATTCAAGCCCACGCCGAAAGGGGGAAAGCCTCCAAAGGATCGAGCGAGAGCAAATCTGCTTCTCATGAACACCCATGTCTGGGTAGCGCCAAGCATCAGACCACCCGACCCATTCATGATCAAGAGCCTTATGCATCGTCTGGAGGAAAAACACAGACAGCGGACTCAGCAAGATGCTCCCTCTACCGACGACGCCATCGTTTTTCAAGTCAGTCACCTGGCTTGCGGCCACAACACCTTCCAGCCAGACAAGACCTTGACCTTCAACGAACAATGCCGCCTTTCTCAAAGAGGCCTAGCAAATTTTGGCAAGAGAATGCTCATTCTGAAATTCGAACAGGGGCTGAAAGTCGAGATCCCTCACTCCGCCATCGTCGAGATGATACACACCTCTGTTCCATCCACTTTTACCCTTCTCCTGAGTGAACCACCACGATTCTATCATACAAAGTCCGATTTGGAAGAACAGATGAAACGTCTCGGCTTGATCGATGATTTCAAGAGACCTCAGGGAAAGTCACTCACTCGCAGTCTCGGTCTATCCAGCAGCAAGGAGCATTCGAAGTGTGCGGGAACCTGCCTCGTCTATCAGCTCGGAATCTTTGGCCCCGACTTCGATTACAACATTATCAGCCTCAAGAAGAAAGAGATCATTGTCATTGCGCACTCAAGGGTCGCTCTTAACCAAATGCCCATCTTTCACGGAGTTGACTACCACACCGAGTGGGCCAAATTCTATGATGGTCTAGTCAAGGCAGGATCTGCCAAGACATTACCTTTTGGCATTCTTTTCCAGCTGCAGTCCTTGGTCTTTAACAACTTTTTGCATCCACGCAGTGCCCACACAATTTTGGTGTCCCTCGGGAAAATGTTCCAAAGCGCCAAATTGGATGGCAAGCCGGAGCCCGTTTCCCAGCAGGCGTTTAAGATTTTGCATGGCACTGGCCAGGATGGAATCTCCTACCCATGTCATAACACTGACCCAATCGAACTGGAACCTAACGAGATCCTGAAATATCTTCTCTCCATTGAGAAGCGGTTGCAATCCGAAACCAACATGGAATTCAGAGATGCCCTGCTCGAGCCTGAGATAACCGATCATCATGCCTGGGTTTTCAAGGCCACAGTGACCCCGACGAGAATCACCTTGCATGGACCCGATCTGGAACCTCTCAATCGCATCCTTCGCAAATATCCAAACCAGACGGACTATTTCATGAGAGTAACCTTCGCCGACGAAGACGGTAGTGATCTATTCTTCAGCGGCAAGGTTTCCTACGATAAAATCTTTGACCGCTACAAAAGCATCCTCGGCAAGGGCCTCGAGGTTGCTGGTCGGGTATATGGCTTTCTTGGTTTCTCCCACTCTTCACTGCGGTCCCATTCAGCATGGTTTTCGGCTCCATTCTTTGACGATTGGAACAAATTGCAACTATACGGAAACATCATAAAATCATTAGGTGATTTCGACAAGATACAGATTCCGGCCAAGTGCGCGGCTCGCATCGGACAGGCCTTTTCAGAAACTCCCTCGTTCATTTCCATCAGCCAGGCCGACATAAAGCGCTACTACATTCCGGATGTCAAATCAATGGAGGGTGAAACTGAACGAGTTTTCAGCGATGGTGTAGGCACAATTTCCCGCGAAGCCCTGGAGCTGATTTGGCCACGCCTGCCACGAGGCTCGTTGATTACCACTTGTTTGCAGATTCGATGGGGGGGCGTCAAAGGAATGTTGTCTCTGGACACAAGGCTTCAGGGTCGAGCAGTGTGCATTCGAAAAGAGTCCATGGAGAAGTTCCCCAGTAAGGATTGTGAGAATCTCGAAATCTGTGACGTTGCATCACGGCCCCTCAAACTGGTGCTCAACCGGCAATTGATCAAGATCATGGAGGACTTGGGTGTATCAAAGCAATGGTTTCTCCGACTGCAGAAGATGGAGCTTGATCGACTTCGGGCAGTAACGGCCGATGCTTACAATACGGCAACATTCTTGCATCTTCAGGGCATCGGCACAAGTTTCTTCTTGCCGACCTTCGTCAAAAGCCTTGACAAGTACGGCATAGACTACCGGCAAGACAGTTTCTTGAGAGCAGTGGTCGAGTCGGTTGTTTTACGGGAATTGCGATTGTTAAAGCATAAAGCCAGAATACCCGTTCCCAATGGTGCCACCCTCTTTGGAATCATGGATGAGACGAGGTTCCTCAAGGAGGGTGAGGTCTACGTCTGTTTTGACACTTATCGACGACCTGGAAAACCAGCAAATGTCGAGTCTATCAAGGATGGTGCTTTCATCCTCGTGACGCGGTCGCCAGCTCTTCACCCCGGCGATATTCAGGAAGTCATGGTTAGAGTACCACCCGTAGGCCACCCCTTACGGAACCTCCGCAACTGTATCGCGTTTAGCCAGTTTGGAGAGCGCGACTTGCCCAGTAAGCTAAGTGGCGGCGATCTTGATGGCGACTTGTATAATATCATCTGGGACCAAGATGCAATGCCGGCAATGGTATATGAAGCTGCCGACTATCCCAGAGTAACACCGGAGCCACTTGGTCGATCAGTGACGAGAGAAGACATGGCCAACTGGTTTGTTGACTTCATGAAGTCTGACGTACTCGGCATGATTGCCACTAGGCATCTAATTCTGGCCGATAAACACCATGAAGGAACTGTGAGTGACGACTGCATCAAACTAGCCGGTTTACATTCGACTGCTGTAGACTTTTCGAAGACGGGCATCCCAGTCGCGCGCGAAGAAATCCCAAAGGCGCCCATCTTTCGCCCGGACTTGTAAGTACACGATGTCGCTCGGCGTAGTCTATTACTGCTGACAGTGTCTCGCAGCCTTGCTCCCGCCCCCCCTGCTCAGTTGTATGATCGAACGCAGATCGACTTCCTTGGTAAGGACGAGGCAGTCGACGATAACGACGACGACGGCTTCGCACCATCTTACAGATACTACAAATCGGACAAAATCCTTGGCGAGCTTTATCGCAATGTCGACGAAAAGCAGATCTGGGATGACGAAATCAAGAGATCTATCGCCAAGACCGGTCCCTCGGTTTGGGACCAGTTTGTCGGCTTGATAGAGCGAAAGATGAAAGACTACACTCATGGGCGAGTGAGCTGGGAAACGAAGCTCAAGGAGGCGAAAAGCTTGTGGGACGTGTGAGTGGCTCTGGGACTTACGTTGTGGCGATTTCATGAATTCTTTCCAGCTGACAGTCCCTCTAGATACGAAGATCACCTCTTCAGTGCCATGACAACGTACTCTGACAGTCACTTGAAGCAATTAACTGAAGTCGAGGTGTTCTGCGGCTCAATATTCAACAAGACCGGCGCGCAGACTCGTCGTCAAAAGGACAACTCAATGAAACTCAAGCAAGAGTTCGATCGACTAGCCGACCTCATGGTGCAACAAATGCGGCGCAAATTCCGTAATGTTGGGGACCACACTGCTCAACCTGCCGATATCTACAATAATCCTGCACCGCTTGGCACCAGCCAGGTTGACGACGACATAGAAAGGCTCTTGGCACCGAACAAGGATGCATTGGAGATGTCATATGCGTGCTTCATGGTTGGGTCGCTGCCGAGTACCGATACCGAGCGCGGACATCGAGCAACGCAGCTGGATAGCTTCAAGGTCATTTCCGCGGGTGTCTTGCTCAAAGAGCTTACTGAGCTTGCCAATCGCGTGAAGGGCGGCCGGCTAGTCGACCCCAACAATGGCGACGCTGCGGGCGGTGGCTTTGTGGGTGTCAGTGGTGGGCCAACAATGTCCTATGCGTACAGCGGCTATGATATGGATGTCGGGCAGTATCCCAATTATGGATACAGCCATTGCATGTAGAGTGCCTTTGGGAGGTAGACCACGACAAGGTCAAGAGCTATTGTACGATATCGAAGCTGAATGTTTGGTGAGCAGTCGTCGACATTTAATTCGAGGCCTCGGGGGATAGTGGGAAAGATGATTTGCTGGATTGATCGTCGCTTCCAATTGGGCAGCGCGTGAATGGTAAAAAGCCTCCGATGCTTCTCACGTCGAAGGATTGTTCCCTGACCAGTAAAAAGACACCAGCGTAAGCCTCCGACCAATTTCCCTACTACTCGCAAAGCTTCCTGCTGACGCGAAATGGGAAGTCTTTATATACTACATGACGAGAGAATGAGACTATGCGCCTCGTCTTCATGAACCATTTGCTTTTCCGTTATTACTCTATTCGCCCACCTCCTAGAATCGCGATGATGGCCTCCCCAAAGCCGGCTCCCAGCAGCGAGTTATCGAAGAATCTGAACCCTTCGCACATTCTCACCGAGCCTAGCAAGACACCTCTTAGAGATGAAGGCCAGAAGGAAGCCAATCAAATTGTGGCTGAGGCGCCGACAGCGTACAAGAAGGATCTACGCTTCTGGGCTATCTTGTTCGCACTATGCATCACTTCTCTGCTCGCTTCCCTGGAGACCACGGTAGTCGTGACGTCGTTGCCGACCATCGTTGAGCGCTTGGAGTTTGGGAGCAGCTATGTCTGGGTTGGCAACATCTTCTTTCTCACTAGGTTAGTCTCGGGGCATCAACCCGGCTACATCTAGTCAAATTACTGATATGAGGTGCAACCAAGTGCCGCTGTCCAGCCTCTCTTTGGGCAGTTCTCCAACCTTTTCGGTCGCAGATACCTCACGCTATTCATTGTAGCAATCTACACTTTCGGTAGCGGAATCTGCGGCGGCGCTAATAGCCCAACGATGCTCATCGCTGGGCGCGCTGTGCAAGGGATGGGAAGCGGTGGCATTAACATGATCATAGACATCATCATCTCCGACCTCGTCCCACTCAGGGATAGAGGTAACTATATCGCCATCGTCCTAACGATCTACGGGGTCGGCATGGCAATCGGACCATTCGTGGGAGGCATCATCGTGCAAACCACTTCATGGCGATGGGTGCGTACTTACTCTCAATCAGGATTTTCCAAGCCATACTGACGGAATAGGTGTTCTACATCAATCTCCCAGTTGGCGGCCTCTCACTCGTTCTTCTCTACCTTTTTCTCCACGTCAAATGGAATTGGACCGCCACCTTCAAGGAAAAACTCCACAGGATCGACTATATCGGTAACTCGATGCTCATCGCATCTACAGTCTCCGTCCTCATAGCCCTCACCTGGGCCGGCGCAATCCACCCTTGGTCCTCCTACCGCGTCATAGTCCCTCTCATCCTCGGAATTATAGGTCTCGCTGCCTTCTGCATCTTTGAGGGATCAGGCCTTGTCCCCGAACCGGTGATGCCCCTGCGCCTCTTCGCGAATCGAACCTCCGCCATTGTCTACGCAACCACCTTCCTCAATTCTGCGATTCTGTACTGGGCATTTTTCTTCCTTCCCCTCTACTTCCAGGCCATCAAGCTTTCGACCCCAGCTCGCTCGGGGGTTCAATTACTCCCCGTGACCTTGATCTCCATCCCGGGCGCCGCCATCTCCGCCGTCGTCCTCGCACGATGGGGACGCTATAAAGCCCTCCACATCGCAGGCTTCGCCCTCATGACCCTGGGTCTCGGCATCTGGACCGTTCTGAACAGGAACAGTAGTACGGCAGCCTGGGTACTCGTACAAGTCGTTCCCGCCGTGGGTTCAGGCATGCTCCTCAACACTCTGCTCCCAGCCTTTCAGGCAGGCCTTGCGGAAGCAGATCAAGCTGCCGCGACGGCAAGCTGGTCTTTTATTCGCAGTTTCGGGAGTATCTGGGGCGTAGCTATTCCCGCGGCCATCTTCAACACGTATACATCGTCGTATGCCGCGCAGAAGATTGATGACGATACGGCTCGGGGTGTCTTACAGCACGGGGATGCGTATGCCAGCGCCACGAAAGCCTTCGTTGAGTCTTTTGATGAGCCGACGAGAAGCCAGATCATTGATGTATTCACCGAGGCTATGAGAAAGGTATTCTTCGTAGCGATTGCATTTGGAGGCCTGGCTTTCTTGCTGAGCTTCTTGGAAAGGGAGGTCGAACTGAGAAAGGAGCTGGAGACTGAGTTTGGGCTCGAGGAAAAGAAGAAGGCCGACGGAGATAAAGATGCCGTCTGAATGATACCTATCAGAAGGTCAGAACCGCCCTACCTTATCCGCTAGTCATCTACAAGTTGCTTCTCACATTTACCGGATGGATTACCCCATCTGGTCACTCAATACAATGTCAACACTCTCACCTACGATGTTTGATAGGCACTTGTTCAGAGCCTTCCGAGCTTCCAGGCAGGCTCGAGGTCGCTCGGCCTGTACATCTAATTTGCAGATCACAGCCGGCGGGATACTCTTCAATTCCAAGACCTGGCCCAGTCGATATGTACCATGACGACACCGAGAATCGTTGCAATAGCCGGGGGCACACGAAGACTGCAGCGCCTTTAAACACTATTTGAGCGACGTTGACGGACAGCGGAGTCGCGGGCCAGGACCTCCATGACTCGACTCCGTCTGACCATCACGGAGTCAAAACTAGCGTCCGTAGATGGATGTTTTAACTTCACGACTTCAGATTATTGCCCACATCCCGCTCCAAGCCTATGTGCCCGTCGATAGAAGCGCGGACAGAACAGGCAGCTTGCTACCCTTGCCAAGTCGGAAGCCCCCGACTTCAAATTGAGCATGTCCACTACTTCAACTCAAGCGTGCAAGCAAACGAATGGTATGAACAGACCGAAACCGAGGCCCAAGCACCGCACGGTTAGGTGACATGCAGGGAACACAGGCGGTTTCCCCCTTCTCTCCCCTCTGATCGTTTCGTCGCGCTGGTCCTTGCGACAGAACAGTCTGCCCAAAGTCTAAGTTCGTCCGCCGTGCTTCATCCTCGCCGACCCCATTCTACCATCGAACAAGAGTGGGAGGAGCTATCCGCGGGGTCAGGTTTCTTGGTTCCTGGGACATGGCAACCCTGACCATCTTTGGCCGCCACAGGAGCTACACAGCTCACTTCAACTTCCTTTGGAAACTTTCAAGGTCAGAAGAAATTCATGCACACGTGGTGAAGAAAGCCTCCAATTGTCGGGCGAACCCGCCACCAGGGCAGAGAGGCTGCTCGCTGGCCAAAGCTTCAGGATCGCCGACCGGCACCCTAAACTTTTTTTCCCCTTCTCTTTCCCCTCGACTGACTTTCGGCACTTTGGCTGGGTCAACTTCGGCTTCTCTTTCTCCGTCACACCATTCGAATGGCACCCGACGCGTTTGGTGTGGTTGAATTTGGACCATCTCATATTACCTACTTACCTTGCCCTAACGCCGTTTGGCAGCTAACTTGAGCTGAACACATACAGTGGAGTCATGCACGACTATGAATGGATACAGAGTCAGCAAGCCAAGCGGGCCCCGTAGCAGAGCATCGCCTGGGCAACGACGATGTCTGTCGTGTCGCAAGTTGCCGGCTGCGGTGAGTGGACTGAGACGCGACATGAGATGGTATTTAGGAAAACGCATATTGACCACGATTACAGTGTGATTGCCAGCAATCCCGGCATGCGAGGGAAAGGTCACAATCAAGTTCCGGAATCTCATCCATAAGCGAAAGCTCACCGACCACCAATGCGACCATTGAATCAAAGATCACCACACCAGGATGTTTAAGCTCAACGCCAGCGAGTCTGGAGCCCTTGCCGGCTGACATCACAATGGCTTTCTTCGCGTTCGTAGGCGATTCACCTTCACCGATGACCGATGTCTTTTCGCTCTCCTTCATGCGGACATATCTCGACACGTCATTACCAATTCGTGCCGTTGTAACAACAATTGGCAAAATATGCCTAGAGTACTCCAAGACCACCGCCTTAGAAAAGAAGCAAAAGGCCGCAGCGACAATTATAGCCCAGGACCGACATAAGTTGAAAGAATTTCTTGACACTCTCACATCTCCCGAGAGCAGTGATCAGCACTTGATGCTGCTGTATGGGATCTTGATGGCTTATGCTGAGGTGGGTTGAAACTTGAACAACCAGAAAATGCAACGTATTGCCCCGAACTTTTGTCATACTCAGAGCTGACTGTTATGCTTTTCAACAGACAATGACTGGCCAGTCATGGCTCTTCTTTCAGGCCACAATGAGAAAGTTGACAGAGAAGGTCCAACAGCAGGTCCAGGAGAGAAAAAGAGCACCACTTTTGTACTTTGACAAAGGATTGCTGATGAACTATTCGCTCCTGGCAACTTATCACTGTCTAGTGTCGTTCGAGGACACTTTCCTCGTCGACGTCGAACTTTACGACCCAAAGCCTTTTGATAACATTGACGAGATCACTAGCCAAGTTCGCATCAACTCCGCCATATTACACCACTACACAAAATACGTAGCCAATTTTGCGCGGCTACACCACAAGTAAGAAAAGAAGCTTTCGGGGGGAAATCCGGTTGCGTTTTGTACAAGGAAGCTAATGACTTCATGTAGGGCGACGAAGTGGGTGCGGCAAGCGCGTCACGTTTTGAACGACCGCCATCTGGCTGCTGAACCGCCACCACACCAAGAGCTCAATAAGACACTATCAGAAGCTGGGCTTTTGCAACAGGGCATGGAGATTATTGAAAGTTCGGCAGCGGTAATTGACGTGATGGAGAACCTCCGAGGAGACAGATACGACGACAGCGACGAGGTGGACAAGAACGACTTCGGCATTCTGCGCGAGGTCTTCTACCATTTCTCGCTAATGGGAATCACGCGAACGTTTTGGGATCCAACATGGAAGCTTATCGACGAGGATTTGCCGCACATGACAGATATGCCGGATCTCGAAGGACACGGATTGTTCGTCCTGGAGAGGCTAGAGCAACGTACTCCTGTCGTCGGATTAGAGTCATGGAGCTACCTCGTCGTTCTCATGGGCGTTGCCTTGGAGGCTAAACGAGATGATATCCGGCAACGAGTCGCTGTCCTGCTCAACGACATTTTGGGCAAAGGCTTTGCAATTGCCGGGGCTTTGCTGACTGACGTGAAGATGATTTGGGGCATGGATTATGCATCTGGACACGAATGCATCGGGCCTAGCTCGTGAGGAAAGAACGAGATCGGAGCGAGGCGACATGCATAGCCTATGCAATTTACATCAGGTCAAGATACCTGCAAAGTAACTGCTAGTGATCCGGTGTACATTACAAAGCGAGCAATGTTAATGCAAATGACAGACACATATTTTAATGAAACAGATGGACTCGAGCCAGTCATTTGATTCTCTGCTCAATATCCGCACTAAAGCGCCGTGTCGGTTTTTCCTTAGTTCCTACGTAAACCTGCCTTTTTGGCAAGTTATCTGGGTATTTATATATACCGTAAGAACTGCCGACGGGATACAATTCTAACCGCAATGCAATGCTTGTTACCTTACTCGTTACGGATAAATCTTTATACTGGTGAAATAAGTGGCTTCAACTTCGTATGTAATTCAATTGGTTGACATGACGTAATGTTGTTCTGAGTCTCCCCCGCACAAAAGTCCCGCAACCGGCGATTAAGAGATGAATATCACAACAAAAAGACTGTCGGAATCAGGGATTTGAAACTAATCTAGAAATTTCGTTGCTGTCTCAAACAAGATTATCCAGAGCAATATTCAACATGGCACCTCCTATCTGCACAAAGGCGTTCAAGCTGAATAACGGTACGGGGCCTCGTCGCCGTGCAGCATGACACGCATCTCATGAGTTCCCATGAACTGATCAACCTTTTGCAGGCCTCGAACTCCCCGCCGTAGGTCTAGGAACATGGCAAGGTAGGGAGAGTCTTTACACGGAATGCGTCCTACAGAGTCTGACAGCCCCAAGGCACTCCAGGATCGGATGACTCCAAGGCTATGGAGGAGTCCGTGATACACGCCCTCAACTCCGGATATCGTCTTATCGACACTGCTCAGCTCTATGGCGTCGAAGACGTTGTAGGCAGGGCCATTCGCAACAGCGGCGTCCCTCGTGAGGAAATCACCGTCGTCACCAAGTTCTGGGGCGAGTGGCATCACGATCCCGCGACGGCCCTGCAGATTTCGCTGGACACCATGGGTCTCGACTACATCGACATCTTCCTCATGCACTGGCCGTGGGCCACAACTCCGGCACCGGAGAAGAAGGTCTTGAAGAAGTGGGAGAGCCCGACGTTCATCGAAACCTGGAAGTTGATGGAGAAGTTGGTCGGCCCCAAGTGCAGATCAATTGGCGTCAGTAACTTCATGCCCAAGGTCATGGATGAGCTGCTCAAGGAAGCCACGATTGTGCCTGCCGTCAACCAGGTTGAGTTGCATGCGTTCAACCCGAACCTGAATCTCGTACCTTACTGCAAAGAGAAGGGCATTGTGGTCACGAGTTGGAGGTGAGTCTTTTCAATCTGATTCCTGTTGCATCAAGGATCAAGGACATGTTGGACAAATGAATGGGGCGCTAACCGAGGCAGCACGATGGGTGGCTCGCGTCCATCCCAAAATGAAATCCTCAACCACGAGCTCTTCACCAGCATCGCCAAGGCACATGGTATCTCTGCTGGTGTTGTGTCCCTGTCCTGGTGTGTCCAACGCGGCATCGCAGTCATCCCAAAGAGCGCCAAGAAGGAGCGCATCGAGGAGAACATCCGCCTTGTCACCCTTACCGAGGAGGAGATGAACAAGATCAACGAGGCGCACAAGACAATCAAGAAGGAGAGATTCTCCAACGGAATTGCTGTGCAGCACATGGAGATCGATGGAGTGATGACCCAGCAGGGCTGGACCTACGTTGATATGGGCTACGAGGATGAGAATGGCAACTGGCTGGCCTGAGATGTTGGAGCTTCGGCCGGTTCGGTCGAGAAGCATCGGGATTTCAGTATAAACCCATCTAGAGGATAATACATTGCCGCCGCTTCAAACACATCCAGCATTCGTCCGTCATTTCATTTATCGTATCGGCACGCTTACAAATCTATGGGTCGTTTGCTCCCGTTGTACGTAGAGCCAAGCCTATGCATTCGTCACCAAAAGCGCCTATAACTCTTCATGTCAGCGGAGTTAAAGTAAGACCGGGGAGGCAGCCAACTTATAGGTGTTGGCGCACTAACGTACTTACGCAGAATGTCTAGCCCTATCCCGACCCAATGAGACACCTTTCCGAGGATCTTTACCGTCTTTACAGATGAAAAGCTAATTACTATATGCTTGCCGTTACTGCAAACTCGAGACGGAATAAAGCAAACTGCTCAGTAACTGGCTGACTTACTCGTAGTCCCTCGCATTAAAGATAAAGCAACCGAGTGAGCTAAGCCAAGCCATGCCTGGCCATAGCACCGCCTGAATCGGGGAGTGGGCCGCTAGCGTCGCAGCGAAAAGCATAAAGACAACCACAGCAGCCACTCCGTCTTTCTACCAAAATTTCCCCTCCATGTCGAGAAAATTGAACAACCCGCAATCAGTAGAAGACGCCGAAATGAACGTGTCACCTCAGGAAGGGGAGCTATCATTGGTGAGGACGGGATCCTCATCGGCGTCAGAAATCGTCCCAGTATCTCTAGGACAATTGCCAGCGCAAAGTGAAGCCCTAGAATCGTCAGAAGATTGGACAGGCTTGACGTCAAGCAAAGAGCGGAGGAAACTTCAAAATCGACTAAATCAAAGAGCACGCCGTTAGTTTACCCTGTATTCCTTGGCTTTACACAAGTTATTGAACGCCATCTAACCGGATGGGCTGCATCTAGGTAGAAGAATGAAGCAGGAAGTGTTTCGTCAAATAAGTCAACTAGAGGGAGTGATCAATGAGACCATAGCAGAAGCAGAATCAGCTGGCCGTCTGCAAAACGGTACCACCGGAGATGAAGGCTACTCGCTTCTGCCATGCCCCAAAAGGAGGGGCGAGCTGATGATCCTCGCACAGGAGGCGCGAAGCAATTATGCCCTAGGAACTCCCGCCCCTCGACAGTTGAGCGCCCTCGTCAAGCTCAACCTGCTCACTGCGCTATGGCGAAATACGCAGATATTGGGCTTCAACGTGCATTCCATCTGCGAGGACGAATTTATTTCTCCATATAATCTACAAGGCCCGGACCTTCCATGCTATTCTCGGCAAGAACTCTCGTGGCCTCCCTATCTACGCCCAACGGAAGCTCAGAAAAAGATTACACATCACCCTTTTCTTGATGTGTTCCCATTTCCGTCATTGCGAGAAGCCGGAATCCGGGCCGAAGAGCTTGGGTTCTTTGACGAAGACGACTTTTGCCTCGACATCTTCCATCTCGATGACAAAAAGGACGGCGTAGAGCGGCCGCGTATGATAGTATGGGGCGAGTCTTGGGATCCCCGCGGTTGGGAAGTCAACGTCGCTTTTCTGAGGAAGTGGGGCTGGATGGTCCGAGGTTGCCCGGAGTTACTAGAAGGCACAAATTACTGGCGTGAGAAAAGGGGCGAAAAGAGATTGAATTTCAATCTCAACCCATGATAGCGATAGAGCAATGAAGCAGGATACATCATTTCACTAACTGTTTTTGTAAGGGGTAGAAAATATGAAGTCTTAGATTCACAACAGAGTCTTTTGCAGTACTTTGATCAATTCGAGCTAGGTTCCAGTCTTGATCAAGATTCATTTTCCTCCATTCAATGGCAAGTTATCATCGTCTGACTTCCATGAGAGCCCCACAAGGCTAACTAGTGATGAGGTAGTTGAACGACTTCCTATGGAAGTGTCAACACTAACTGATTAGTTCCTTAGAAAGGCTGGGCAGTTGCATGCCAGAAAAGCTCGCCAAGAGCATATCTGTCGGTCAGAGGCTTGACCTCCTCCTTTACGCACGTCTTTTCGACCGGAACTCCGTCGAATCTCGCCCCGATCCAAGCAGCAATGTCAGCTCTCGCAGCCTCCAGGACCTGGCCATGGCCCATGCTCGGGTAAACTCTAGCATGAACAGGGCTCTCGGGGAACGAGGTGCAAGTCTGGTTGAAGTCGTCGAGTGTCAGGTTGTTTGGCGTGATGGTGTCGGTCTCGCCCGAAATGACCAACATTGGCGCGGCGATGGAGTGCGGGCCTTGGCCGTTGTATCGAACAGCCCATTCGTCAACGATTGGAAGCGTCAACCAGCTTGTATTCTTGTAGAGTTGCTCCGGGGTGAAGTCACCGACGATAGCAAAGCCGGACGTGAAGCACGACTTGTCGAGGGCACCCAAGCGCTGCAGGGGAATCTCCCCCAGGTAATCTGCAACCTTAATCTGGTCGGGGAAGAGCAGAGATAGAGATTGGAGGAAGTAAACTGAGAAAGGATCGTGGGCAGCCTTTCCTTGGGCAAGTGCAAGAGAGGCGGGGATCAACTTCTGCGGTCGCAAAGCAGGGGCGGCAGCCACGGAGCCGATAAACTCGCCAGCCTCCAAAAGAGCTTCTTGATCGGGCTGAGCCAGACGCTCGTTGGTTCTCCAAGCCGTCATACCACCCTCGCTGTGTCCATAGACCACCCACTTCTGTCCCAAAAGGTCACCGATGGCCTTCCTCGAGGCAACGAGAGAGTATGCGACATCAGCAACGTGGATCCAACCCGACTCGTACATGAAGCCCTGGGGAATGTCGGAGCCCTGACCAGCATAGTCGGGAGCAATGACAGCATAGCCAGACTCGGCAAGGATGAAAGGGGCCTTCCAGTCGTAGTAAAGACCCTTGTTATTGGTGGGGGCACACAAGCGGCTACGGCCGGCAGTTCCGTGGGTCCAAACAACGGTGCGCAGCTTGTTCTCTTCGGCCGTAGCACCGGGCTTGGCAAACGGGTTGGAGAAAGGCAGAAGAACCCAAGCGGATGCGGGGATTGGCTTGCGGTCAATGTCTTCGGTTACATAGAGGACCCTTGACAATGACAGACTGGCGGGGATAGTCCAGTTCGAAGAGAGCTGCGCAGCGGGCACGTTCTCCCATCGCAGGATATCGCCAGGTTTGGCACCGGTGAAGTTGGCAGGGGTAGAATAGAACGGGTCGGACACGATATCGCTCACCCAGAGGGAGGCTTCGGCTTCGTACGTGGTCTGTATGGCGGTCTGGCAAGCTGCGTCGCAGCCCTTCTGGCATTCGGCATCGCAGATCGGGTCGAGCGCAGAGACAATGCCAACGAAGGCAGCAGCAATGGCTACAAAAGACTTCATTTTGCCGGATGATCTTGACTTGAAAACAAACGTAACCCTGCTGGATGAGGAACGGAAGGCAATGATGATCGCTGCTGGCACCGGGTCTTTATACAAGATCGAGGTCGGAAAGGGGGTTCATCTCATTATCTGATTATCAACCATAGATATGATTACAGGAGCTGCAATCCTTGATCTTGAACCTTAATTCTACGCTTTACCTACACGATACTACGAGCCTAGGTTGTTGAGCAGTCATATTAAGCATACGTGCGATGCAAGCTTGGTAGTCGCCCCAGTGTCGCATACAACTTCCCCTTTTGGGATGGATCACCCGCCCCTCGTTGCAGCAGCGCATCCATCCCGAATTGTAATCGGGGTCCAGTCCAGGCCCGGAACCACGGTAATCGACTCAGCTAAACATTTGTCGATAAACATTCTTGTTGCTTTCAGCTTGTATTCGGATGTTCCCAATCAGAAGCATTCTCGGAACGCTTCCGACCAGTTCCGTCTGATCTTCTGTATGCCTCTAATCGTAAGAGGCGGACTTCGGAGACTTGTGTCAAGCTGCCATGCATTCCACCCCGCCAAGTTTTTGTCATGTCGGTCTCCCACCGGTATCTGTTCCCAGTGATGCGGTATTGCTCCACCTTCAAAGATGTCAGCTTCTGATCGGCCGACCCTGGCAAACTTGGTCATGCACATCATGTTCTATGGCATTGCATCTTGAGGTTACTTGCGTGCCTTAGACAAAGTGACCCGTTGATCCTTTGGGTATATCTCGAGTTGGCAGCATGGTGTTTGTCGCATCCAATACATATGGTATACTGATTTTATCTTCTCAAAACTTGTATGTTCCCTCGGTCTTACGATGCAATAGGCATCCCTGTCAAATAGCAATCGTCTTGTGCCTATCCTATGTTTCATTCGCTGAACAACTACAACATCTTCCCGAACCTGTTGCGCTTAATCCATCAAGCGACCAGAGCGGCGCATCAGTCACGCGATAAAAGCCGCTCATCAGATTGATCAATGAATGTGAGGTGGGCAGCGGAGAAAATTACGATTCTCTTCCGGTACGTGTAATAGTAGATATATTAGGTCATGGAGGAAGACGTTTATCCATTCTCATTACCCGCGATGCATAATTAGGCAATCTGACAGGAAGGGGAGTTTTATAGTGTTCAAAATGATATCTATGGCGTTTCATAGTGTACTCTAACTTAGTCTCAAATGCAGTATGTAAGTCAACTCTATTCTTACTTTACTACAAGAGACTTTGCTGCTCAATTTAGATCTCATTTAATATTCACGAGTTGTAGAAAATGCGTCATTGATGATGCTAGGTGAGCGATAGCAGCATAAAACTTATCACAACTGGTTTCAGTCGAAAGGAAACATGGTCTCACGATGATCCTCGAGAAAAAGGCATCCAGATTCTAGTCGTCCGCCATTAGGCATTGAGATGAAGGATGACAATCTTATCGCTGTCGGAAATGGTTGTGGAGATGCAACAGTACACGACTCTGAGATTGTTTTCCAAAATTCCAGTGCGCAATTATCTTTTGTTAGCTTTGATGTCGGGTCCAAATGTTCAACTACAATAGCGCCACGTGAACGTTTGTCTTGAACGGTCGCTTCCGTCATCGACACACCAGGAAGCCGTGCAGGCGTGACCGACGAGATCTAAGCGACTCCTCTTCCCCGCACCATGTGGCATTCCGGCTTCAACTACCGACGAAACTATCTCGGCTTAGCCATTTCTTCCCCAATACACACCTATTCACTATCAGTTCCTCCACCCTACCTGTGTTCTCAAACTCAAAAATGGAGAAGACAGATACAGCTGAGGTGTTAGACGTGTCTCAATGGCCGACAGCGGCGAAGTTTGTCTCTCGGTGTTGCGAGTTTTTGAATGAGGTGCAAGATTTGTAAGTTGTTTCACCGAAGACATGGTTTAGATGGAAATCAATCCAATCAACTCACATTTACCACACTAGAACACCCGGCAAAGCCTTAGAGACCCGACTCAACCAAGAGTTCGGACCTGGCAATCAGTACTACGAAGACTTCTGTGCATATATCAAACAGGGTCTCGAGGAAGGATGGGTGGCGCAGACCGAGATTGACGGACGCAGATATCGGCGGGGCAAGATTGCGCTCCCTTCGGCGTCGACAAGATACTTCAGCATCACGATTGTGTTCATGGATAGCGATACTGAGTTTAGGGGACAGTATCACGCTCATCCTTACGGCGAGATAAACTGTGTCATCCAGCTTGATCCTACGGCGGAACTCAAGGGAATGCAAGGCTGGCAGGGTGCTGGCTGGACATCCCCTGGGCCCGGAACACATCACTTTCCCGAAGTCCGGAAAGGGGCTTTGGTAGCACTGTTCTTTCTGCCTGCTGGTCGAATCTCATATAATGCTGAGCCAGGTGCCCCACAGCCGCTATCGGTTTAGGTTTGAACACATTCGCAGAGCATGATCAGCTCGGCGGTTCAAGTTTGGAATTTGCTAGTAAATAAAGACTTCAAATTTCTACGTAACTCTAAGGAGTGGCACAGCTTTATTCAACTGTTCGGGCAGTAAAACCTTTGCGGATAACATGATTTCCGACAGGCATTGTAAAGAAAGTGAGGTTTATGACAAAAAGCCAGGGGAAGGTACGAAAGTAAAGCATCAAAGAAAGTTGCAAAGCTCGACACAATCCAAGGCACGAGGCCCTATCGAGCCACGGGATCTCTGAATCCCTGACAAATAGTCAGAACTCATCAATCCTCGGTATGAGCCTTTTTCTGTCTCCTCAGGCTTGGACCGTTGATCTGCCTTTGTCCAGTTGCTTTCTGAGCACGGTCTTGGCTCGACAGCGTGTTGCAACCGGAATAGTAGGCGTGCAAGACCGGGAGCCCACACAAATCTCGGTCGTACGTGGCATCGATGTTGTTGATCTGGTCGCCAGCCCCAGACTTTGTACAGTCGATGTACAGGAGGGCATTTCCGGCAGAGTTCAAGTTCTGAGTCATGTACGACGAAGCCGTGGAATTTGCGTTACCAAAGTGGCTGTACTTGAAGTGAGGTCCAGATCGCTGCATAGCCATCAGGTCAAGCAGATTTGGGTCGTTCTCGACGTACAGTCCGTTTATTTGGTTGACGCCTTCACCAGCCGTGCATTTATGGTACATGGCACAACCTTGGACTTCACTTCCGATCGGGAATTTCTGTTGGGGCCAATCTTGAGAACAAGGGCGATCGCTGGTAGGAAGGGGATGAGCCTGATCTGGCTCTGAAATGGAGCTTTGTTCAGCTTCGTTGAACATGTTTGGAGGGTAGGTATGAAGAGCAGAAGCAGGCTTCCAGTCTTGGGACCCATGTGAAGACCTCACAATCGCGAGTGAATCACCGCTCGTTGCTGATGAGGAACCACCGGCTTGCTTTTCGAGTTCGACAGCATAGTGCTCAGATCCAAGCAACAGGCTCGCCTTTGTGTTGCGCAAGGGACGGTTCGCCATCACGCGTAGATCTGATTGTATTTGGTGGAGTGTGCTGGCCTCGATGTTGTGGATGATGAGAGAAAGGTGGGACTTGCGCCTTTCTAGGATATCCAATGTGTTCTTCAGATCTTTCTCTTTGCGAAGAAACCCCAAGGATTGTAACAAACGGCTTCTGCCCAAAATTGATTCAATGTCGTATTGGTTGACAATCTTCTGTAGCGAAAGAGTCTGTACACCAATTTCTGTGGTCTGGAGAAGGGGATTGAGAGATATAGAGTTGGAAAGATCATAGAGTTCTTGAAGATGTGTTTGATAACTTTTCAATGCTGACGGCGCCTCTTTTATCTTTTTCATGAGCTCGAGAATTGCAAAGCAAGATACCGCAAGCTGGCTAGCAGCAGCCGCAACTCCTATGATTTCGGCCATGATTGAGAGACCGTGGAAGTGAGTCAAGGCCCGACAACTCCAAGGCTATGTGGAAAGAATACTGATCACCACCAGGCGGTGAGCAGGGTAGGCCAATAGGTTTGTCCGCACAAGAGATTCTTGCACTTTGAATCTTAAGATAGCTTAGTGGTGTGGCCGGAAGACATGCGGGCAGACATGTGCGCCGAATGAAGGTTGCGATAACGTGGCAGTAGATGGTCAAGTCGGTCTCTGTCTTGGGGGCCGCGGAGTGAGGAAGTCATGAGATGACTATGGGTGAACTCTATACATGTTGAAGATGAACAGAGATACATTCCACGTTGTGATGTAGGTAGGGAGAAATAAGGCTGATATGCAAGACCGGGCAGGGTTTATCCGGGAAAGGGGGCTGAGTCCATAAAACGGCTTAGTTCAATTGGTTTGTGAAGAGCCTCACTAAGAGAAAATATTTCATGTCATTGGTTCCAACGCAGGGTGTAGAGGCAATATCGCCATGGTACTGCTTTCGTGTGGTGTGGAAATTCAAATCTCTCCTCTCACCGCCATTAGAACATCAGTGTTGGAGATGAAATGGGTGTACTCACTGCTTTAGATCAGCGGTAGACTTGTACTGCCATGAATTACGAGTACTTGAATACTAGTGGGCAGTGTTGGTCATCTGGAGACTAAATCTTTTCTATCTCGTCAGAGTCGAGATGCCATAACAGTTAACGGAGACCAACGTTCGTGATGTTTCACTATTCTCTAGCGACCCAAGGCAAGGTACTTGAATATATGATTTGTTGATAATGCCGAAAATCATTCGACTCAACATAGAGATGCCCTTACCTAGGTTGCTCGCGGATAATGAGAAGTTGAGAACCTTCCCCGATCACATAAGAATTCACACTCTTTGAGGCTCCGAGTAAATGTCCCTGAGCACAACTCTTGATCGGATCGGCGAAGCTTGGGGTTGATGAGCTGTACATTGGGGGCGAGACTTGGGCTTACTCCTAGACAGAAGATGGTGGGCATGGTGCCCGATGCGTGTATGTCGGCAGCCCTGTTTGCGAGAAGCTGCGATCCAGCTGATCTCGGGCATCAGACATAAGATCATGCTGGGGCTCACGTACTCGTCAATTCTTTCCATACAAAACACTCTTAGAAATAATGAGCTGATTAGAGTCTATTGCTCTAAGTACTATATCTTGCAACGCTATCGATATCATGCTGGGAGAAAGTGATACCTGCACTGACACGAGATTATCAGTCTGTAGCGGTGTTTCGCGTCTCGCTTCCGCTCGACATCTTCTTACCGCGGTCGAAATGCAGGGTACCTTGTGCCCGACGCAGAAGCGTTTACTCCTCCCTCTTCCGCAATGGCCACAGACGCGTCGAAATTGCTTTGCCTACTTACTGCATGCCAGACTCTTTGTCATTGGGCAGACCCCTGGACATTCACCACTTGGCGCTTCACAACACACGGCCCCTTGCTTCGACCTTGCCGCAGCGATGGCCACACAGGCATGGTCCCAGCCCTCCCACAACAGAAACATTGCTTAGTCTCCCGCACATTCTCCCAACTTGGGTTGCCTTGAGTTAGGCTAACCACACCACCTTCCGAGTCATTACGACGACTGACTGGTCAAGCGAACAACTGCAGTGGTTCGATTCGCCGACAATGCCACCGAGAACGAAGATGAACTACGACGCTGCAGGAAGACAACCCGAGTTCACGTATCCGTACACCGCATCGAGCAATGTTTGCTCCAGAGCCGAGAATCAGTACAACGGGCCCGTCGAAATAAACAAAGGGACGATCACCAACAACATCCAACCGGTCACCTTGACAAACGAGCCTTCGTACCACTTCACATTTGTTTCCAACGGGCAAGCTCCCACTGGGACATCAAGCTCTTGTAAAAAGTGCGATACGGACAATCCGGCCGGAGGCGATATTTCCCGTGGTTCATCCAAGACAACATCCACTTCCGACGGTCGGCAGATCTCGCCACTCAACAGCGTTGACCAAGCCAAATATGCACGCATCCCGCATCGGGTTGCTTGTTCTCTTCGCATTGGCTGGATAAATTTCATCATTCGCCATCTAAGCTTGCGGGCTTACGGCCTTCTCTGCGGGTTTCTGATGTGGTAAGTTCGAGTTGCATGACGAAACCTCAATCAAAATGCGAGCCCCGCTAATACAAGTCATTTGATAGCTTGATTTCTTGCTATATTGGAACTCTACGGCACTCCGAAAGCAATCGTCGAAAGCGCTTGGGTACTCTCCATCTTCTAGTAAACCTTATTTCCCGGCGCCGTTGAGGAGTGTACCCACCTTCCAACACGTTGTGGCCAAGCCGAAGACCCGTACTGAGGTCCCGGGGTTTCACCGGAAGCAAAGAACCTTGTACCGCGGAAAACAACACTATGGGGATAGGACGTAATCGGCACAGGTTGGAGTCGTAAAAGCAAGATTTTAAGAGCAAGTCTATACATGTGGTTGGCGGTATCTTCCTCTCATGCCTCAAGAATCTGTCATATCCAGAATAGAAAGTTTCTTCATCATGAATTCGTTCGGAACTTGCGTCACTCCGTCTCTAGCAGTGCTCAATGCCGCTTCCTCCCATTCGTCGCATAGACGAAGCTGCTCCTGACATTTTTGTCTAATGACCTCAACGGAGTCCACTCCAATTGGCACCCTGATTGGGAACGCCTTGTGAGCTGCTAAGCCCTGCCCTTTGATCACGTCCCAAATGACTGGCGGTAGCTTATCCTCAGACGACGGAAGGTTCGGAAAGAGTTCTGCCGCGATCCTTCCCATAGCTTCACCATACAGGCCTTGGTAATCTGCAATAGTGGGGAAGCCAGGAGGAGGCCCATCAGACTGAGTCTTGTCTTCATTCTTGTCGTTTATGGCAGTATTGACACCACCGGGCTCGAAGATGACGGCTTTGATGCCGAGATGAGCAGTCTCTCTTTGTAGACTCTCCACAAACACTGCTCAATGGTCAGACTCTTGTACTCTTCGACTTGGTTCATTCGATGCCCCCTCTTCTGGCTTGGGTCACTTACTTGTGAGTGCACCTTTGGCCATGCCATAATGAGCCATAAATGGGAAAGATGCCCAGCCGAATCCAGCACCGATGAACCCAAAGGTACCTGATTTTCTCTCACGAAAATGCGGAAGAACTGCCTGAACCACCTTCATTGCTCCAAAGAGGTTGGTATCGAACATTTTCTGAACGAATTCTTCGCTGGAGGCTGTTCATCAGTAAAGCCCCATCGTTTCCCGCATGACATGAGGTTTCGGAGGCACTTACTCCGCTTCTTCGATCGAAGACAAGAGAGAATAACCGGCATTACTAACAACGAAGTCGATGTGCCCGAAGATCTTAACAGCTTGCTGTACCTGGGATTTGATATCGGCAAGCGGGGAGGTCACATCGAGGTCGAAAGGTGCGATGTTATCCGACTTCTTGTCTGCTAGCCGCGCCGTCGCATTCCGGCCCGTTGCGATGACCTTATCGCCCCTTTCGGCGAACTGTTCCACAAGGGCAGCACCTATGCCCGAGGTGGTGCCCGTGATAAACCAAACGTTTGGCTCTTGCATTTTGTCGATTTGTATAGTCCGGGTCGAATGGTTTTCAGTGTGGCTACATGGTAGAGTAGGTCGTCTATCCGGGTCTGGCGGACTTGAAGAGGTATAAATGAACAATGAAACGCCGAGAACGTGGTGATACCAGGGAGCATCATAGGTAAGCTTACGAAAATTGTGGGGAACTTTGTTGGACAGCAATCCTTAAGGAACAAAGTGCAACAAACTACGTCACTCGCTTACCCTTCGGTGTCAGCAGAAAGGGGCCTTCGGACACGGGATGAAGCTTCAAGTCCCCTCAAATTCCGGCCTTATAAGTGGGCTGCGGGCTTCGGGCTCTGAGGCCAAGACGGACCTTTCCGAGCAGCCGAGCAGAAATGCCGGCGCTCCATCGGAGCTGTCTGATTCGGCGCGGCCTCTACTAGTCGTCAGCAGTAGGACAGGAACGTGCAAGTTATGCTTACGACACTTTTGCTAGTCGCTTCAAGCTAGTGAGTTTCCGGGACTCTGTCGACGACCTGTCACTATCTGATGTGAAATCGTTATCGAAATCTGCTCCACGTTCGGAAGTCGGTGCTCGTTTCCATCAGTACCTATATGGATTGTGGGACTTCAATGTGTAGGTAAGGTAGTTCTACATGGAAGTCATCTATCATCTGCCAGATTCGGCTACGCTTTTCGCGTCAAGCCCGTTATATCATGTGTTAACTTTCTTCCTCAAATTAGCCCATGTGAACGGAGGTGTTGGTCCTCCCCATTGTCATCTCTTCATCGTCTTGAATACTCACAGAGAGCGAAGTAGCTCAGTCGAAAGCCTTCCAGAATGGCAACAGCAATCAACGCAGGTACGCGGACTCAGGATGGCATGGGAGCATCGCGTATCAACCCAATTTCCATTCCTTTCCAAAACCGCTTGCCCGACACCTCATGATTGGGCGGCTTCAAACTCGGCTCGCAACTCTCCCTAACAGGGGTGTGTGGATTCCAAGCAACGTTTAAACACGCTATTGGGACTGTGAGTTCGAGTGGTTTCTTGGAAGTCTATTGGCGCTTAAATCAAGAAACCGTCCTTGCGCCATGTGACCATCCCAGTATTGCGGGTACTTCCGGACACCCACGCGATGGCATCATGAACAAGGGGTAATAACAAGGTTCGCAACTGACTTGTGGATTTCTCCAGATAATTCTCCCCGCAAAGCAATGTGGCCCTCCATGGGGCATCTTACCGTACTACCGAAAGAGGCCTGTCTTCCCCAGGCGCTAAGCCCGTGAACGGACGTGATTGCACCGTCTGTGGGGTTTGGTGTCCCCGCATCGTGAGAGAGCTCGGTAAGACGCTACCCCGACTCGGAGCTAGACAACTAGGCGCGCCATAGAAGAGCAGCATTGATTTGAAGCTTTGCACTCTTAAGTCGGGAGAGCTCATTTGCGACGGAACTCGAGAACTTGATGCCAAGGCCCTGTAGTCACTTCGATCACCTCGTCGCCACTGACATGAGTATATATACGATGGCAGTTTCCAAGATGCCTTTGATGCCGTGTGGGATGAACGACGACATTGCTTCTGTGAGCCCACTCCACCGAATTTGAGAATAACTTCAAGATGCGCGTCTTTTCCATCCTAGGCGCCCTCGCATCGGCTGCTGTCGTAGCCGGCAACCCTGTAGCCCGCCAGACATCCAATTTTGCCGGCTACCTGATCTCTACCTTCAGCGACGCCAACCCAAAAGTGCAATTTCACTTGTCAAATGGCAACAGCGCGTCTAGCTTCAAGTTCCTCAACAAGGGTCAGGCAGTCCTCACGTCGACCGTTGGTACCAAGGCTGTCCGCGATGTCTACCTAACGACAAATCCCTCGCGATCAGAGTGGTACATCATTGCCACTGGTGAGTTGACTTCAACCAAGATGCCGAGGCGATTGAACTAACTCTTACCAGATCTCGACATCAATGCTTCTGGCTTCAACTGGGACAAAGCCACGAGAACTGGCAGCAGAGGCATCGTTGTCTGGAAGTCAACCAACCTCGTCGACTGGTCTGCTCCCACGCTGAGAATTGTAGAAGCCGACACCGCCGGCATGGTCTGGGCCCCATCGGCCGTTTGGGACGATGCAAAGTCCCATTGGTACGTCTTTTGGTCCGCCCGACACTATCGATCCACCGACACGGCCCACACTGGCACCGCAACACTCGACCGAATCCGATACACCACGACCAAGGACTTTGTCACTTTTAGCCCGGCCCGGGACTACCTTGCTCTAGCGGACACTCCTCTCATCGACCAGGAGTTCCAGTACTTGGGCACATCTGGCGCCTATGCCCGCTTCCTCAAGAACGAGACTACCAACCAAGTTTACCAAGAGGTCACTTCGAACGGCATCTTTGGCACTTGGAAGCGTATTCCTGGCTACGTCAGGAATGAGAGCCCTCGCGAGGGACCTGCCTCCTATGCCGACAACACCACGCCTGGACTGTACCACCTCCTGCTGGATGACTACACTCAGTATGTGCCATTCCAGACCAGCAACATCCAGTCGCCTAGCTGGCAGGCTGGTAGCACGTCCGGCTTCCCTTCTGGATTGAAGCACGGCTCGGTTACGCCCCTTACTCAGGCCGAGTGGAACGCCCTGAACTCGAGATTCCCTGCTTGAGAAAAAAGTCAATGAAATGTTCATGCACAAGCATGCATCTTCTCTGTACATATTCTACATCATGACTTGAATGAAAGCGATTCTCTGGTATTGAAACCTCATATTGCTGACCCTATGCCATTTCATTGGAACTTTGGATCATCAGTTTCCCGAAAATGTGCCTATCGTACAATGGTAAAGTCGATCATCAAGAAGACAATGTCAGAGATATCAGTCGACGTGATCAGCTTACTCCCATACTCCCTGAGAAGTTCCGCAATTGGAATAGGCCATGCCACGAATACCTAGCACCCGCTTGTCAGCAGGTCGAGACGCGTCGGTCGATGTGGCGTCCCTTGAGCGACCGAGCTTTTGTGACAGATCCTTGAAGTTGTGGTCTCCATTGAACTTTTTTAACGTCTTTACTTGACGTTTAGGAAGACGCCCGTTGAGCCAGGCAGTTTGTGTGACTACCTAGTGGTGTCGCATCTCAGTAGGTAAGATTTAACATAGTCGATCTGTCATGGTCTTGTTCCGGCAAAAGATTGCCGAAAGGTACATTTGCAGGCTGCAGCTCTTGATGTGATCCATCATCTGATGGAAATAACAAGCTGCTCTAAAAGATCTGTTCTTGCCCAAAAGTTGCCAGCAAAGGCCACAAACATAAGAGCCTCGAATGCTTTCAGACGGCAACATCGAAGGTTTGCCACTGTGGAAGACCTGCACGTGAAAGCATATGGTACATGTGGCTTGCAGGCCTCCCGCCTCGGACTCTGCTAACCGGAAGGTTGTCTCCTTGCAGCGGATAATACCGTGAGTGCGTGCAGGACAGATGGACTGATTGATAGCAAATCGTACCCGGTTTACCGGAAACGTAGATCCTCTTTGGCTGACACCAATCGACGAATGCCTCTAGCACTTGCCGAAAGAGCTCGGGGAAGTGCGCCGGTGGCTTTGTACTTCCTCGTTTCCAGCCCTAACGAAAAGCCCGAAACAACAGGCCACAAGTCAGCAAACTTCGTTTCTTTGAGAAAAAGTGTGGCGTTGGACTTCCACGGCCGTCGCTGATAGGTCCCTTGGATTCGCCATGTGAATCTACGGCATCAATGGCTGACTGTTTACCGACGCAGATTGGCCCCGAATCATGGTTGCATGGAGTCGGCTTCAGGCCTGTGGGCTCTAAAGACCACAGCCGTCTACATTGTGGCGGCTGAAATACATCGTGGCGTGGCCGCTTGCGGTGACGAGTCTCAAGATGCTGTTCCCTCGGTAATTCAGGCTCGCCGGACATGGCAAGCCTTCATTTTTAGTGTCTACCTTTTGGTGTTCCTTGAATCTCTTTGCATTCCATTGTCTTTAACGTCCGCAGTCCCAGGCCATGTGTCCCATAGCACCCTGACATTTGGTTTTCAGTTTCCGCAACGACTTGACGAACTGTTTCAGACTTCCTTGGAGGCTCAATGTCGGCCTGAAAAGACATCTGAATTCGAAATTTGGAAAACCTACAATTCTTTACCTGCCGCCTGTCATAGATGCTCCATCAACAGGGACGGAAGGGTTGATAAGAAGTCGCGATGCACAATGGAAGCTTCATGCGAGGGGATCCTACCCCGCCATACACGGACGCCACAAGAGCCCCATTGCTCATTGGCATGACTGTAGGGTTTCTCGGAATTGCATTGATTTTCGTCGCACTGCGTGTCTATGTGCGGGCTGTGGTATTGAAGAAATGGGGTTTAGACGATACTCTCCTCGTCGTCTCATATGTGAGTATCCATATCCTTTCGACCCATCACCCAAGGTATTTAAAGTAGCATGGGCAAAGCTAGTGACTGACTGAAATTCACTAGGCTATGACGGTGATGACGGGTGTCATATTCTCGATATGTAAGCGCCTTGAACCCATGGCGGCGTGAGGTTACTGAGGTAGAAAATTTGGACTAACAATTTGAAAGGCACAACACTTGGGCTTGGGATGCACGTGTGGACGGTTCCTGTTGAGATACAACAAACTGGCCGCAGGGTCAGTGTATCCATTCCTTGGACACTATGGTTATGGAATCTGTGATGCTAACACCTGCTACAGGCGACAATTGCTGCAACTTTATCATACCACATTACCTTCATTTTCGTGAAGATAGCTTTACTCCTTTTGTACCGACGCGTGTTCGCTCACCCCACGTTCTGTCTAGTATGCGACGCAATGCTAGGCTTCATTGCGGCGTTTGGTATTACCGTAGTGGTGTCCTCCGTTGTTATCAGCGCACCAAGTTGGAGAGGCGACACCTTCGCGTTTGAGCGGTACGACCAGGGAGCATGGTGGATGGCAACAGCTGCAATTCACTTGGTGACTGACATGATCATATTCTTCATGCCTATCCCGCTTTTGAGCAGCTTGAATTTGAAACGAGCTCAGAAGGCTGCGCTGATAGTTACCTTTGGCGTTGGATTTATGTGAGTTTGTAATCCATATTCCGGCGAAGCATTGCTCTTACTGAAGCCTTGATTTCAGCACAACGGCTATCTCTGTTGTCCGGATGTCTACCCTCACACATGTGTTCACAGCTGACGTGACGTGGGATGTGATCCCATCACTGATCTGGTCTGAGGTCGAGCTCTGTTGCGCTGTAATTTGCGCGTGCATACCAACACTTCGACCTCTCCTACGGTCTCCGAGATCTACCTCCTCGCAATACTATGAGCGACGACGATCTGAAGCAAGCGCCGAGGCGAAACTGTCTCGCAAGCGGATCAATGGGGGAACGTTCGGGAGTCACAGCCAGCGAAGCATCCAAAATACAACGACGATGGATTTGGATTTGGACATGGAGATGGGCTTTGGGGCGAACATGGAGCCGGAAATGCCACCAGAAGCGCCTTACAACCAGAAGGGGAATGTTCAAGGATTGACTATCGTGACAGATATCACTCCAGCGATGCCAGCTGGAGAGTCTGATGATGGATCTGACGTGTTTGGGCCACTAGACGAAGAGCTCATAACACCGCTGAGCCCGCCTCCCAGATCATACACCAGTCCTGCAAGACTTGTTCCCCGGTCCCGGCCATTATCAGAATCATCCAACGAGGAGGGAAGAGAGTGGGGGATCAGTTACGGCTCAACGCAGGCCAGGTCACTGCCGAGAGGATCCTAATGATGGGAAGAACTGGGGGCGTTTGTGTTTAGCAAGGCGTTGGGGACCATTTTTACCAAAGGAGTAATGCCAGGACAGCAGAACAGAGTCATAGTAATAAGTCTTGGAAGATAATGCAGTAAGTTATCTATGAATGGCATCAAACTGAGGGACTGAAGTTGCAAGAAGGAGGAATGGTGGTGGCAGGTGGCAGGCGGCAGGCATCAGGGTTCTTTCCACCTCCTGTTATTCCCAGAAGGAGAAGGGCAAGTCCGAGGTGGACGGGACATGGTGGGCCAAGTGGACCCTGAAGAAAGCTACCGAGTCAGGAACATGTGGCCTCGGCGCACCTGCGTTTTTCGGGGTCTCGGTTCCGGGCGGGCCGCTAGACCTGATGAGCAGCTATGCACGTGCGGCGCTAGACTCTACAAAGAAGGCGGTCGGTATCCCGAGGCATCGAACATCTTAGATAAGCCGGCAAAATGGCAAGTGTCGCCCGCCCGCACGTCCCCGCCATCGCCGTCTCCGACAGGACACCGAAGTCGATAACTTTCCGCCCCATTCCACTCTTCCTGCCTGTACGCCTGCCCTCCTGCCACCTTGGCTCTTGACGACACTCTTAAATCTTTCTAGTATTCCGTAATCGCCGATCTAAGCAGTCTCGACACCATCCACACAATGTCAAATGGGAACGGCGAGCACGCTGCCGCGGCTGCCAACGGTTACCCCGCCAAACCCCACTCATCCGAGTCCCCGCGGAGTTTCCAGGAAGTGTGCCACGATCTGAAGGACAAGGTCGACGCTTTCTTAGCCAATGACCAGAAGACGGATGTTTTGCGCAATGTTCAAAAGCAGCTGCGCGCGTCAATGGGTGTCGTTGACGAGGCGTTGGCAAGATATAGGTGCGCGATACGCGACACGCCATGTCAGCTCTTCTCTTGTGTTCGCATGGGTCGCTAATGCGCCGAGGCAGCCTGGAACAGATTTCAATCTCATACAATGGAGGAAAAGACTGTATGGGCTCACATATTATATCCCCGACATATTCCCCGCGGCAATGCGAATCGTTCTCGTCGAGCCATAGCACCGCACCACCTTTGACGTCGCATACCGCCGTCTTTCCTAGCCTAATGTCTGATGCTGATAGACCACTTTAATAGGCCTCGTACTCCTAATCATACTCCTTGCCGCCCTCGCACGTCGATATCCCTCTCCTCCGAAAGCCTCCCACACGAACGGGTCGAACGGCACCACTTCCTTCCCTCCTGAATTCCAGGCAGTGTACATTGTATCGAAGCATCCATTCGCCGAAGTTGACGATTTTGTCGAAACCACCAGCGCCGAATACCACTTAGACGTAAAACGATATGCCATGTCAATGAAAGATGGTCTCGAGGCATACCTAGCAGACAGACCAAACGTAAAAGCCATTTTCGTAGGGACGAGGAGGACAGATCCCCACGGAGAGAAGTTGACAGATTTTGACCCCACGGACTCCGGGTGGCCTGCCTTTATGCGGGTACATCCTGTAATTGATTGGCATTATGGTTAGTCATTACCACTGTCATGTCATTGTAAAGTTGCTTGCTAACGCTTCTCCACAGCCGAAATTTGGGCAGTAAGTTGACACATTTTGCCGGGCTTTTGCGATAGTGGCGTTATGGACCTGATATACTAGTACAAGGATACTAACCAATCTTTAGTTCATCCGACATCTGGAAATACCATACTGTCCTCTATATGATCAGGTAAAATCTTCGATCCAAGGAAACCAATATTGGGCGACTGACATCTCTCAAGGGCTACACGAGTTTAGGTGGAACGCAAGATACCCATCCCAACCCTCAGCTAAAGACTGAAGGACAGAACGGTGCGGGTTTCCGGCCTGCGTACGAGCTTACGGAAGACGACGAAGAGAGACTAGGTCGTGATAGATGAACAAGAAGCCAACCTCCTATGGACGCTGACTTGCTGAACCCGAGAGAGTTGGATTGAAATCGAGAGTAGCGCAGAATCATCATGGAGGAGCCCATCGTATAGAGAGCGCATAGACTTGCCGCATCACAACCAATCTACACTGATTCATCTTCAGCTCGGTGCGATTACCGCACGAACCATGGCAGCCATGTCGCGTTAACAAGGGCTGTAGTCAGAAGCTGACGGAGATAGGTTCCTAGGCATTTGGTTTCAGAGCCACTCCGATTTGCCCCTCGAGAGCCTTCTGCGACATGGAAAGTGGCGAGGAAGTACGAGCTTTGCTCTCTGGCCTGTGGTTTTCCCCACCTCAACTTGGCATTATGGCTACGCCCCGGGATCAAGAAACCGCCGAAACGCGCACGTCGGCGGCCATATGCGCTCAATAGGCACTCGATGTGTGGCTGTTCAGATGGCAGGAATCAGCAAGATCTTATCTGTTTGGTTAGCTGCCAACTACCATTCTCAAGCAAGTGCTGTTTTTCCCATTTCAGTCCATGATCAGTTGTCCGTCACCCGCCCCCACAATGTCAGCAACCCCCGCGCGGCAATGTGGACCTTATCGGTATGAAATTGGTACCTTATCATCGGAAGCTTGGCCCTTGCCATCAGTCCATCGGATAACTGGCCCGAGTCGCATCAACATCGACGCTGTTTGCTATAAGACAGTACTGAGCCAAGGCGAGGTGGTTGTGAGAAGGTGCGGGCACTAGTGTCAACTTACACGACTTGGAAGCACGCTTTGACTGGGCTTGCAGTGCATATTCCGCCGTTAGTCTCATGACACTCGGCCTTCATCATGCTGTACTCTGGAGTTGATTTTTTAGCGGCATTGTCGACCATTCTTCTGCTCGCTCGTTATGTTTCTGCAGGGCCAACGGTGAAAGTTTTGAATGGCACCTACAGGGGCTTGTCTCTTCCTAGCTACCAGCAAGATGTTTTCCTTGGAGTCCCGTATGCGCGGCCTCCTACTGGCAACCTCCGCTTCAAGGCGCCACAAAGCATCGACTCAACGTGGAATGGCACTCGCCCTGCGACGGAGTATGGGGACACATGCATGCAATACACTGTAAGCACAAACATGGCAACTACTCGGCTTGGGTACTCGGTACTAATTGAAACTCTAGGCTCCTCCTAGCCACCCAATGTCTGAAGACTGCCTCTCGCTTAACGTCTTCCGCCCGAGCAGCCTGAATAGCACTGGACTTCTTCCTGTCGCTGTGTGGATTCATGGGTGAGCCTTCGAAGCTTCCACTTCAATTTCGTCTAGACACCAAGGGACTAACTGGCACTTCACCGTAGCGGCGGCTTATACGCAGGTTCATCCAGAGACAATAACCTCACAAACTTTGTGCGCCAAGCCTCTGCAGCACATAAGCCTCTCATCGCCGTCTCCATCAACTACCGACTGTCGGCGTTTGGTTTCCTTTGGGGATCCGACGAGGTGAAAGCCAACGGCAGCGCCAATAACGGTCTGCGGGACCAGCGTCTGGCCCTCCACTGGATCCAGGAAAACATTGCCTTCTTCGGTGGCGACCCGCGTCGTGTAACAATCTTTGGCCAGAGCGCCGGAGGCTTGTCTGTCGGGAAACAACTCATTGCATACGGAGGCAGAGATGATGGCCTGTTCCATGGTGCGATCATGCAGAGCGGCGGCATGGCCGAGAAGTGGCCCTATAACGTGAAGAACTCAGCTGCCTACACCCAAGATCTCTACCGGAACCTGACAGAGACAACTTCTTGCTCTGAGGCAGCCAGCCCGCTCGAGTGCCTCCGTGACTTGCCTGTGGAGACCATCTCCGCCGCCCTCAACGTGAGCATCACACCGGTGTTCTCAGGCACGGGACTCGGTCCCTGGCTCACTCAGGTCGATGGTGATTTCCTCCAAGACGGGCCAACGGCGTCCCTCGAAAAAGGTCACTTCGTGCGGGTGCCGATTATGTACTCCACCACCACTGACGAGGCAACCGTCTTCATGTTTGGCGGGATGCTTGACACGGACGAAGACTTCCGGGCTCTGGTTGCAGCAGGGGGTCCGGATCACTCCACCGTCTCTGCCATTGAGCGACTTTACCCCAACACCGACGGCACAGGGCTTCCGGTCGGGTACAGCCCGACTGCCGAGGACAACCAGCTTTACGGATCTCAGTGGAAGCGCGGGGTCGAGTTCCATACTGACGTTGTCGAAACTACTTCGCGACGCATGACGTTGAAGGCGTGGGCCGCTGTTGGCGTAAAAGCCTATTCAGCTCGTGTTAACCTATTGCCGCCCAGCACTACTTCTCGCCTGGGGTCTCACCATTCAATGGACGTCTCATTCATATTCGATGCTCTCGACGAAGAAACGATGTGCGAACCCCAGTTTGCGACGGCGTCGAAGCTCATGGGTAGGGCATGGGCGTCTTTCGTGTCGGATCTCAACCCGAACAATCACGGAGGTATGGCTTCTCCCTCACGTGCAAGCCCTGATCACCCGCTAACATGATTATTCCAGTCCCCGATACTCCTGCGTGGCCGACGTGGAATGCAGAGAAGTCAAACAAGACCGGCTCTAATTTCGTTTTCAACGCTGATAGCGACCCATCGTCAAAGTCTTTCGTGGAAGTGGATGATTACCGCCTGCGACAAACAACGTATTTGGCAAGTGTCATGCAAAGTCAGATGTACTACTAGAGAACAGTTGGGTACCTTAGTAATGATTCGGCGTCAATAACTGGAGAATCCGAAATATGGATGATTGAATTACAAGGTAATATGATAGTATCTAGTTCCTGAATCATACTCGAGAAGCACCTCCGCTTCCATCTGATCTACATCGACCACTACCTGACGCCACATGCTCAACTCATATGAGTCGGCCATGAAGCCTGGGAGGACCATTGCGCAGAGAAATTTGGTCCCCCTCGTCGAAGTAAACCCTGATCGGCTGACCAAGTCACCAGTGAGATCCCTTACATTCGGTCCTACAGCCAACTGGGGACATAGAATAACAGCCATGTTGAGCCCGGGAAGGCCCATGGGAAAATTCGAAGGCGGATTCCAGCGCACAACCATTCCAGGTCGTATGCGCTCTTTGAAAGAGACGTCGACTGCCTTTGGGTCCGGGTCCACGCTGGACGACAGCATCTCCTGGTTCATGGCTGTCTTGTCGCCCTTTCCCTCAGCAGGCTCTGCCTCGCTCTTGACTTCTGACTTCTTCCCGCTAGACTTTTGCGAATCAATATGCAAACGCCAGAATTTGGCGTGAAAGGCGCGAGCTTGGTCTTCATCGACTCCTGGGGTCTTCAAGCAGCGGGTGAGAAATTCGGGTGTGGGAAGGCGGAGCAGCAGCGAACCGGTCTCGGTGGGCGCGACGAGTTCGCCGGAAATGGCAGGGCTTCCAGACTTTGATACTTTAGCTTGATTCAGTGGCTGGTTTTGAAGATAAACTCACGCTGGTGTTGATCCAGGTCTGTAACCGTTCATTATCCCAAGTTGCAGGCGTCTCGGGGTCATAAGACTGAGCCTTGGCTTTGGGCAGCAACACCCGCAACATCTCGGCATATTTCAGCGTATTCTTGCCGGCACCAGCATCTGGAAGACTGGGATTGACACAGGCAAGCACGACAGTCTTGCAGGTACGTCTTCCTGCCGGATCGAAAACGTGCTTTAGAATTTTGGTGAGGGAACTCTGCCGGAATGGAATATACGTCGGGCTCTTGGTCTTGCCCGTTAGAGAAGCCACATCGACGGTCGCCCTGCCCCTGATACAATCTTTCAGTACGGAAAGGCTGGTGTTGATCTCCCGGGCCTCTTTCATGCGGTCGGGTGTGTGGTTGGCAATGTCCCGGGCAGCTTCCGAGCCTGCCAGGTCGATGAGGTAGAGGAGTCCGTCTTCGGCTGTTGGTATGGGACTTTCAATACGAATGCGACAGATGGCGTGGGAGCGAGATGATGCGTCATTCTTGAACGTCGATGCTGTACGGCGGAAGGTTGCTGCCTTTTCTATGAGCTCGAGGAGGGTAGCTGCTTCGGTGATTTCGTGTTCCAGGGCGCCTGCAAGCTGTGTGACACCGAAAGAATCCTCCAAGACAGAAATTGGCTTTCGAGAGTTCAGGAGGTCTAGGGTATCATGTTAGAGCAGATTAGCAAAGGGATGCGAGTCGACATACCGAAAGAAGAGTTGCCGGCCAGCTCAATGATACATGCATACACCTTCCGCTTTCCCTCCATACCTCCGCCCATGAGCGACCTTGCGACCAGCTTCTCAATCTCGCTGACTGTGAAGGTTTTGCCAGACCCAGTCTGGCCATAGGCGAAGACGGTACTAACGCCACCACTCCATGCCCAAGGGACCAAGGGCTCAACCAGATCTCGGTAAATCTGCTCAGATGTATCATCTGGACCATAGGCTTTGTCGAGCTGAACTGAAGTGGTCTTTTTGATATATCAGCTCAGGTCACGATGTTTGAATCTGTGGCAAGCAAGTGGCTGCTTACATTAAGTGTGGGAGGTCCCAGGGGCTTGACATGCTTTCGGATCTGGTGGATATCTACGGCGCCATTACCGCTGGGTCTGGGGAAAACGCCACGAATGAGACCTGCGGCCACTTCATCCTCCAAAATCGGCCGAAGTCGAGCTGCCACAATCATGTCCGGGTTGGAGGTAGTGTTCGGATCCTGTGCACCGGCCAAGTCTTTCTTGGCTGCTTTGGCGCTGAAGGCCTCGACGGCGGACTGGTACCAGGGCGTATGTTTGATGTGATATTCGTCCATGGCGAGTGATTTGCAGCTTCAATTATGTGCTGTAAAACAAAGATAAGGATTGACGTAATTATCTGGCTTTGAGAAAATTTGTATGTTACTGTTGGGGCTTGCAATGAGACTTATATCCCGAGAAGTCTTCAATGTTCTTTGCTCGTCGTTGAAATGTTCGCATCTCGTCTTAGTTGGCAAGTGGTGTGCTGTATCCGCAAGGGACACGAGAAACGTGGAGCACTCCGCGGTCCCCCAAAGTCGTTGCCTGGATTCGGTTGCCCAAGCAACCAGGCAGACAATTCGACAAGTATTGCGGTGAAACAAACAGATTTTTCATCTTCAAAACTTGTATGGAAGCTTTGAGTATTGAGATAAGGTAATGGAGGTACGAAAATATGCTGCATTGATAGATGCCTAGTCAAGGCTTCCATATTCTGCACGCCATGCACCTCTCCAGCGAATATTACCCGCTCACTACCTCAAATGTAGATGCCTAAATCGGTAAGATTTACCATGTTCCAAACGTGCGGAAATGCTTAGGTGAGTATGTTATAATCTTTCTTACATAGAAAATTAAGGTACTATAGTTACGATACCCGCTTCAACATTATCATTCCTTTGGATCGCCATCCATCATATCTGATTGTCAGAATTATTCACAGATTGTCTCTTCGGGCCTCTGGCAAAGGTAAAGGTTTTTGGCGACAGAACCTTGACATTGCCCTCCGCGTCTTTTGCTGACGGCATATACTCTGTGGTAATGGCAACTTCTACATCCTTTCGGATATCAGTATTCTTCCGCCGGTTGCTGTGACTCCTCCGCACGCTGTTTGATCTCATAGTCCCACTGGTATTATCAGCATGAGGATCACCCCAGGTCTTGACGTCTTGCATCTTGTACTCGTTCACCATGCGCTCTTCACTCTCGTTGAAGGTGATGTTTGTAATCGGGTACGCTGAAGGGGGTCCGCGACCCCGCCAGCTTTGGTTGCTGCCGGCCCCGAAAGTGCGTATTTCTTTCGGGGTCGCGTCGGTGAGCTTCTGGGTCGATCGGAGCGAAGTGAGAAGAGAACCAAAGACGGGTCCAAGCCAAATCTTGATGATTGAGAACACCATAGGCAGGTTGGCGGTGATGACGGCGACAAACGTCTCACGAACAGCCCATGATCCGGCAAGCTGTGCACCGTTCTGAGGGTCCTGAAGAAGAAAAGGATAAGTAGGAGTTTGGATGGTACAATAGGGAAACTCACTGTGACAATCAAGATACAGCGCAGGGTTGCGCAGACAACAACAAACAGTCCACCACTGAAGAGGAACAGCAGACCCCATTTCTTGATGGGTTTGAGCCTTGCTTGCCACAGCATCGGCAAGGGGATAGATAGAAGATAAAGATCCGTGGACACGTTAAACGCCAAGTAAACCCAAACGACTTGATTGGAGATCGCTGGTTGACAAACGTCTGTGAGGTGGTCATATCAGCATGGTCTTCGTGCACTAAGTTCCGACCGGAGAGAATCTTACTTCCCGGGTCAGGATTGATTTGCCAGTTCTTGTGAAAGGGGCGACAAGCGAGGAAGAGATTCATGATGACGACGATCCAACTGACGACTAAGAATCCAAACCCAAAGTAGATGCGAAGCCGATAGCCGCGACCCAAGCCCGCCTTTAATAGTCAATATCCGGCGTGGTTGGATGGATGATGCAAGTTGAGTTGTTCACTTACAGTCAGTCTGAGATAGAACACTAGCAGTGAAGCCTTGAGCGACCACAACAACACCGAGTAACTGGACCAACCACACAGCTGAATGATTGAACCAACCACCCTAGAAGAAATATAAGTCAGTAAGAAGACTTGTTAAAAGTGCAATAGTCTTACCTGAGTCGATACTCCTCACTGTCTGGGGATAGAGCTGCTCGTTGCTCGTCCGTCATGGCGTTGTTCGCCATACCCTTTGCGACAGCTCCGACGGAATGCGCCAGCGCAGTCTCAATGGCATAGAATATCTGTAATCACCATTAGATGGCAATTTCTATAGTATTAATGCGGGTAGAGTCAGAAGTACTAACAGCGCCGACCCAAACAAGATAGTCATCCGCTTGGAGGCCCTTGAAGCCTACAGACCTAACCCTAGCGTAGGTCCTCAACATGGTAAAAAGAATGCCGACTGTCAAGAGGGTCCACGCCTCTATTGTGAATGATTGCATGGCCGCTTGAGCAGCAGCAGCAGCGGCCTCCGCCGCGGCGGGGTCCATGGCGGCCGGTGACGACATGCCGGAGTCCGATACTGTAAAAGAACGACTCGAAAGAGATTTGATGCAAACAACGAAATAAACGAGAGAAACCAGCCAAAAGAATTCAGGAGGGTCTCGAAAGGGCATGCAGGTTCCCGGGGTGTCTACTTTGTATAATCTTTGGCCAGAGCCCCCATTCTGGACGAAGCCCTTACTCGATTTGATCGACACTTGTCAAGCCCGAAAGACCGGCGCCGATCCACACCCATGGCAGCGGTTGAGCTCCATTCTCGCTGATACCCCATAGCTGTGCCACCAGGAGAACGTTTGAGGTTTCCTTGACGTTGATTACATGTGCCGGAAACGGCAGTGGGTGAAATCGCATTGCCGAAGCTTTTGTAAGGCCCACGTGCTCGGTATGCGAGGGAAACGTGGTGGCAGGTTGTATATCGTCCAACCAACATGAAGATAAGTAAACTTAGTAGTAACTGGTGCTCTGCAAATCAAGAGAGATGCTTGCAGTCCAAACATCTGCATGACTACCAGGCACGCCACAAAGGGAAGCAGGAGATTCGTTGGCATGTTTACAGCAATGTTCCGACTGCGCAACCCCGGATTGGAAAATCCGAGGACACGGTAGATGGCAGAGCATTTTCGGCGTGTCAGTCTGTTTTGCTTCGAATATCCTTCCGCTGTTGGTTTGCTGTTACATTCATGGCGCAACTCTTTGCCGTTTGCAGATGCCAACAATTGGTCGCGCATCTGAGCATCATGCCATTAAAATCTTCTGTCAAGCTAACAAACGGTTTGGTGTAACCCTAAACTGGAGAGTTTTCCGAAGGATTGAAGATGACCACGTTGCCCTCCCTGGCCACAGGGACTTGAGAGTACGATACGCGTCTTGGGTGGCATGAGTGAGAGACTCGATTTGTGACCGGTCACCGGAGTCCGGACTTTTCACGGTTCAGAAAATTGCATATATGTGAAATAATGCCTGAATGCTACGGCGAGTCGGCCAACTGCATGTCGATGAGCAGGGGTGTTCTGCCATCCGAACCCTTCGGTCAACGGCTGACTCGCTCATGGCATGTCTCTGTCTAAACGGTAGCATCCAAGCGTTCAATATGGCACAACTGTTGGCGCACACATATGTAAGCCCTTGTCCACAAGAGTTCGTTAGGACTAACACCTGGTTGGTTCAATGTTTTGACAGTTCCTGATCCATAATTCATTGCATGTACGAGTAGCCCTGAAGAAGGGCATCCAATCGCTGATGCAGCCGCGGGGAACCTGAATGAATTCCCGACGTCCCCGACTAACATCAGTCGTAGTCGCCCGCCATTATACGTAATCCCGAATGTAACCCTAAAGGAAATTGATAAAGCCAACACGCATCGCATTTCGCGTCCGTTGGAAGTGGACCCGGGGTTGGTTCTTCAGAGTTTAATAAACACTTTTACAGCCAAGCCTGCACTCAAGCACAAACTCAGGGGCTCCTAGCCTTGCCATCACTTCTCAATCTGGAATATCCTCGCAAACTGGGTATTTCCGCACGTAGTATCACCTTCCAAACAGAGAAGATCGACAGGACATGGGATCCCGGGGAACCGTCCCGTTGTCGTCTCATTCTAACTTGGCGGCCGTTGGTAGACTACATTCCGTTAGTCGCTCCTGAGTCGTGCCTTGAGCAAAGATTCATCAAGATTACTTTCCCTGCGCGTCTCCGACTGTTTCGGCACTGATCACACAAGTCTCTCGCATTCCTATTCACTGCTTACGAAATGGAAAGGTTTGACTGCATTGTGGTTGGCGCAGGTAACTTATTCCCGAGCCTCCGAAGTTGCAAGTCTTCATGCAGTTCTCTGATCGAGGTTCAATGGAGGGACATAATGCCATAGACTGACATGACACTGCAGGATGGTATGGCCTGGCCGCCGCAAAGCAGTATCACTGCATGCAACCAGAGTCTTCGTTAGTTGTCTTCGACTCCCAACCCACGCTCGGTGGGACTTGGGCAGAAGAGCGCTTATACCCGGGCTTGAAAAGCAACAACATGCTGGGGACCTATGAATATCCTGACTTTCCCATGGAAAGTAAGAGATTCAACATCAAGCCAGGGCAGCATATTCCAGGCGAAACCATTAGCCTCTATCTCAAGGCATATGCCGACAAGTTTGGCATCACCAGCAAGATCCGATCGAGCCACAAGGTCCTTGTGGCAGAACATCAAGAAACCAGCGAAGGTGGCTGGTTCCTAACAGTTACGAATTCCAAAGATGAAGAGATCCGAGTGTTTTCTCGGCGTCTGATTGTTGCGACTGGCTTGACGTCGGAACCGTGGCTGCCCCATTTCGATGGTCAAGAGTCTTTCGGCGGTCGCATCTTTCACGGCAAATACTTCCAGCAGAATGCCGATACCTTGGAAACGGCCAAGACCGTGACAATCTTTGGTGGTACCAAGTTTGCATGGGATGCTGTCTACTCTTACGCGACTGCTGGCGTTAAAGTAAATTGGGTCATCCGGTGTAAGTCAACTTCAGGTCGAGAGCTGAACACCAACTAACTCAGCAATAGCGACGGGACATGGGCCTTGCTGGATGGCACCCCCCTATGTCACTCCATTCAAAAAGTGGTTGGAAAAGCTTGCCAGTCAGTACATCTTTGCTTCTTCCCAACGTGTTCCTAGCTAACTATCCCTCAAATTAGACACGCGAATGTTGACCTGGTTCAGCCCTTGTTTGTGGGGTGATGCTGATGGCTATATTGGCACGCGTCACTTTCTCCATGGAACTGCCATTGGCAGGACGATCGTCGATGCTTTTTGGAAAGTGCTTGGCGGCGACGTGATGACACTCAACGCATACGACTCTCATCCAGACACGGCAAAGTTGAAGCCGTGGACAGAAGCCATGTTTACAGGCACCAGCTTCAGCATTCTCAACTATGATACGGACTTCTTTGACTTGGTCAAAGGAGGCAAAGTCAAAGTCCATCTCGGGGAGATCGATCACCTTAGTCCTGGAACGGTTCATCTGTCCGATGGAACCGAGTTCCCAGCCGATGTTCTGCTAGCTCATACCGGCTGGAAACACGTCCCACCGATTAAGTTCCTCCCGGAGGGTATCGAGAAGGAGCTCGGTATACCGCATGCACCTATTCAGAACGCACCCAGGGAGGATCTTGCCGGTCAGGCCGACCTTGTTGACCTAGCAGATAAGGAGATCCTAGAGCGCTTTCCAAGGCTCAAGAACCAGCCAGTATGGAACAAGAACTATGTGCCCTTGACCGATCAGAAGGGCATCGACAGTGATGACGCAGTCACTCCCTACCGAACCCTTACTCCGTATATGCTTCATCACTTCATCGTCCCGCCATCGCAACGCTTCTTACGCACACGCGACACAGCTTTCATCGGCATGGTCGGCAACTTTAGTAACGTCATCACGGCTCACGTTCAAGGCCTGTGGATCAATGCGTACTTTTCAGGTCTTCTTGCCAAGGACCCTGCGGAGGCAGTGGGTGATGACTCGGCGATACAAAAGTTGCAATACAACACGGTCTTGATGAACCGCTTTGGTAATTGGCGTTACCCTACAGATTGGGGCTCCAACAAGTGCCCGAGCTTCGTTTTTGATGCCGTTCCTTACCTAGACCTGTTGCTGAGTGACCTTGGTCTTGCGCATTACCGCAAGAAAGGATTCATGGCCGAGTGGTACTCACCTTATGGGCCAGAAGACTACAGTGACGTCAATGAGGAATGGAAGGAGAAGTTCATGAAGGGCAAGATTGTCGGTGCTACATCACTTCAGGATTAATCATGCATTCTGTGATACTGAGATAGTATCGCTGATTCAATGAGAAAGATTACGCATAACGACAGAAAGATGATGTTTCTATTCTCTGTTGCCGACCTTGTATGGTCAACCGCCCCCCTAAGCCACTATCTTGGCCGATTTAACCGCGACCCCTGCCCTTAGGCTACCATTACTCCAGCTGGAAGCTCGGATACATCATTACTTAGTATCCTCGCTGCGGAGAAGAAAATTCTTAGCAGAGACTTTGCCAACTTCGGGATGTATGAGTGCTTTCTCAAAAGAGCCAAGACCTTCGGAAAACCCCCCCATAAGGGTGACCACCAAACCCCCCTTCCTCCAACATCCGTCCGAAGGAGCGATAGAATACAGACTGGGCCCCAACTCCTTAACCCCCGGGGAAAATTGAAGAGCCATTCTAGGCATAAAAATAACATACCATAGTGTACAGAAGTTCAGCCTCAATATTACTGGGGTAGGTTTGTGGAAAGGTTGAGATCTTTACCGTACAATCTGATGCAGTATACACCAATTTCGGATACTGGCCGGCATTGAGTTTGCCTGGTGGCATTGGGCTGCCGCTTACGGCAAACACCTACATGACTCGCCAGTATGAAGAGCCAATGCCGGCGGAAAGCCGTCCTGCTAGCAAAGTGTGCCAGCAAGCCAGGACCGGGGCCGAGTCTCCGCTGACGGTCCGGACTGCCAACGGCAAACACGGCGATGCTCCACCCCGATAGCCGGCCGCTGGCCCGAGCATCCCGGCATTTGGAAATTACTGGAAAGCTCGAACTTTCTCTCCCCACCCTTCTTCAACTCTTCTCCGTTACGTCACAGACACGGCATCCTGCGACAGCGTGCCCGTTGCACGGCAGGAGAACTCACCGCAACGTCGTAACGTGGGACAGTGGAAACGCAAGGATTCTCCTCGATTCTTGAACTTGTACGATAGGCAGTTTAACTATTTTATCCTCATAACTATTCTCTCGACTTTCTCCTACCCGAAGATGTTCTTCATCTTCCTAGTTCATTCGCAATCCTCTATCGCGAAGCATTGATACTTCTGCAATACCCCGGGCAATGTCTCTTGCTCAGCACGTCACCCAGGCCGAAGGCTTTGACTACGAACGTCCCACAGAACAAGTCGACTCAAATGGTCAAAGCGAGTCCATCTTCGGCACACTAAACCCGTTCAACACAGAGAGCAATAATGATGAGCCACAATGGAGACGCTTGAGCTTTGCGCCTATTGAGACCGTACACGCCGAGAAGCCAATCGCAGCTTACAAGGTCTCCAATACCATAAGATGGGGTAAGAGCCACAATCTGATTTCTAGATAATCCTCCAACTTTGGAACTAACGCATCGCAGTACAAGTAGCGACTAGCATAGTAGCATGTTGGCTAGCTGCGGGCATCGTCTTTGGGTTCGCTGCCCTCAAGCCTGTTCTCATCGCCGAGGGCGTCTACAGCGATCTCTGCGATGCCAACGATCCAGGCACGGTGGACAACGGCGACTACATTCCATGCACCGAGCAAGACCTCAGGTTGAACTTGTTCTTCATCGCCGCGTCTGTTACAGCAAATGTATCTTCGCTATTGGCCGGCTCTGTCCTTGATCGCTATGGCAGGCGGGTCTGCTGGATCGCCTCCTGCCTATGCCTCACCCTGGGCTGCATCCTCATGGCCGTCTCACGCAACTTCACCTACTTCGACGGTTACTTCCTAGGAAACATCATGCTTGCCCTCGGTGGCACCTTTGTCTTTGTCTCCAGCTTCCAGCTCGCCAACGCATTTCCCAAGTACAGTGGGCACATCATCGCACTGGTCACTGGAGCCTTTGACGCGTCGGCAGCTGTCTTCCTAATATACCGCGCAGCATACGAATCGACAGAAGGCAGGCTCTCACTTGAAAAGTTTTTTTACGCCTACATTGCCGTTCCTGTTTTAATCCTTCTGGCCGAATTCGCCTACATGCCCGTTCGGTCCTATCATTCAATTCCTCAGCTGGAACAGAAGATTGAGAAAGTCCAAGACGAGACGCACGATGTGCATGAGTCCGATGACGAAATTGATGACATTAGGCAACTGCGCAAAGTACGCAGTGCCCGGGCTGATCGACGGTTGTCCAAACTTGACCAAATTGAAGAAGTCGCTGGTGACGCTGAGCAGCGTGAAGAGCGTGTCAAGATCAACGAGGAGCGTCAGGAAACCAGCGGAGTCTGGGGAGTTCTCCATGGTGTTGCAGCCCATCAACAAATCCAGAGTCCATGGTTCATCCTCATCCTGCTTTTGACTATTGTTCAGATGTTGAGGATGAACTACTTCATCGCAACTATTCATGCGCAATACCGATATATGCTAGGTTCCGAGGTCGACGCCAACGACATCAACCGTTTCTTCGATATTGCCCTGCCTGTCGGTGGATTGATTTCTACCCCATTCATTGGGGTTCTCCTCAATAACCTCAGCGTACCGGCAACCTTTGGCGCGCTGACTGCCCTGATCGTTGCTATTGGCCTCCTCAATTGCCTACCCTTCGTATGGGCGGGATATGCTACGGTTGTCTTGTTCGTCATCTTTCGCCCCTTATACTACTCGGCCATCTCGTAAGTCCAGCCATGCTGTTTTCTGACTTATATGCTCGTGCGCTAATCAAGCTTTAAGGGACTACGCAACAAAAGTCTTTGGTTTCGCCACCTTCGGACGTATCTACGGCACGATTGTGTGCGTCTCAGGTCTGGTAAACTTCGCCCAATCTGGCCTGGATGCTCTTACTCACGGCCCCTTGCACGGTGACCCTACACCTGTAAACATTACTCTCGGCGCATCAGGCACCATAATTGGGGCTCTCTTAACGGCATTCGTCGCCATCAAAGGTCGTACTTTCGTCACAGAAGAGAAGCCTGAGTTGGATGCCTTGGAGGAGAGACGGAGACTACTGTCATCGGCAGGACAAGACTATGGTAGTCGAGAATGAGAGGTTTCTTTGGCGACAGGGTCATCCCCAATCAAAAACACTCTCAATATCTGTCTTCCAGATAAAATGATTAGAAGGACAATAAACCTAGTATGCTGAAACCGATCATCAGTTACCTACCCAAGCTTTTGCCACCCCCCTTGGAGCATTTAAGGCCCCGACTCCTTCTGGAGTATTTGTCACCAGCCAGGACTTTGATCTTTTGTTTTTGCAAAAAAAGAACACATTTACGGGTTAACATTTTGTCACTCACGACGGGCTCGGAGTCTCTTATCAACCCGTAGCAATTCTTGGCGACGAATCCGTCTACCTCGGCCGACGTTGTTTTGTAAGCTTAACCCATATTTCTCTCTTTCTCTACGTTCGTCGGGAGCCTATTCCCGGATTTCTTCCTTCAGCATGCGTTCTAGCCAGATCTGTCTATTAAGTTGGGTCTGATTCAGGCGTGGCAAGATGCAATGACTTTGTGTCCGGGTCCGCTTGTGGTCGGTACGCGGAACCCGTGGAATCCATAAAGAAGTGACGTTGGCCTAGAGCAACTCGCCCTTTCACAGATTGATCTCAGTGTGATTGAAAGACAAATCGTTTAGTCAACATGTCCATATCTTCTCCGAATACACACCATTTTTATCTTTATTTTTTCATTTTTCTTTTATCAACTTACTTTACATGAAGTAATGTCCATTGCAGGGTTGAGATCCAACTTCACCCCATCCTCTACTCACAGCAAGTTTACATTCTGCATTCGCTAAACATGAAGTACCGTGGCGTTGTATACGATGTAGGCCTTCACTTCGCTGCAGACAGCCCGTCCGTCGAGCCATTCGATCCAAAACTCGTCGCCCACGATCTCAAAGTCATCGCTACCGACCTCACCGCCAACGCCGTACGCATCGAAGGCGACTCTATCCAACGCCTCGTAGCAGCCTCGCGTATCGCCCACTCACTGGGTCTCGCAGTCTTCTTCAATCCGTGGAAGATGCACGCACCCGCCGACGAAGTGCGAGCATATCTCGCTGAAGCAGCCGAAGCCGCGGAAAACCTTCGTGGCGAAGGACTAGACATCGTCTTTGTTTCGCAATGCGAATATACCATCTTCAACGAGGGTATCTTTCTTGGCAAGGACCTGATGGAGCGCGTCAAGTGGATGAGCGAGCAAATGAAGGAAACGCCCGAAGGTCCCAGCATGCCGGATTTGCTGCGTGAGGCTTGCTCGAAGCTCAACGATATCCTCAAGTCGTTTTTGCAAGTAATCCGCCCCTTTTTTCACGGCCGGGTGACATATTCAGCAGGAATGTGGGAAGTTGGGGATTGGACGCTCTTTGATATTGTCGGCATCGATCACTATCGCCAAGGCGAGAGCGAGAGCGATTATCTCAAAGGGTTGCATAGGTACCGTTGCGAGAAGCCTATTTCTGTCATGGAGTTTGGCTGTTGCGCATATGAAGGCGCCGCCGCCCTCGGAGCTGGCGGTTTCATGCTTCTTCGAGGCACCAACCCAGACGGTACCGGCAGCTTCGCCGGCGATGTAGTGCCAAAGTATTCAGAGACGGAGCAAGCTGATTACGTCGAGGCAATCATCAAGATATTGGCCCGAGCTGAGGTGGACGCTATGTTCGTTTATGTCTTCTCATTTCCGACGTATCGTTCCGGAGAGGGTATGCGAAACTTGGACATGATATCCTTCTCGTTGGTCAAAACCTGGCCGGAAACGGATGAGAGGTCCAAAGCGATACCACTGTGGGCACCGAAAGAGGCTTTTCGAAGAGTGGCTACTGCCTACAAGCAGCTCGAAAGCTCATAAAATGCACAAGGGGGGGCGCATTTGGTGACTATAAGAAAACTGGGAGATTCATTTGTTTTTATCTTAGTATCCATCTTCACTTACAGGAATATCTGAGCTCGGGATACCCAAAATTCATATTCGCCCGCCACTGAATGTCTAGTGCTCGGATGACGCGGTATAGATAGATCCACGTTGCAAAATCGACAAGGTACTGACTTACAGGTAATGGCTCTTTCAAGAGGGCTATGGTGAGCAAATAGACACGCCTTCAAGGATGATAATGTGTTCAATCTGTCTGCTCGGAAAATCGCTCGAGAGAAATTGCATCTGAGAGTGCTGAAGTAATAGCGGGTGAGATGCACTGATTCTGAGATGGCGTGTAGCTTGACCCCCTATTTAAGCAGCAGTTGGAGGAACCCCAACTTTATGGGGACAGCCCCGATTCCCTTCAGGGCTGGTGGGATCGAAGATGCTGCCCCAAGGGTCTTCGGAAGCCCGCAGACAGGATGAATGGTCCAGCAAGCCTTCTTCCAGAGATAGGATGAGTCCTTTATCAATCTATTCTCGCATATGTCATGCTTGCACTGATTCTCCTAATGACTACCAAGACCATTGGTTTTCCTTTTTCCTTCACTTACTGCAGAAGAAATTAAGACTGAAAATTTGGTCCATTCGATAAGCTTGGCGTGACAATACGCCGATCCATGCAAACACTTTCTAACTACAATCTTGCGGGACTATATAAAGCGTCAAGCTCCACGGGATGAATATATTGATTGCCGGCCACGGAGTCCACGGGAAGCTCTGTTCTGGTCGTTGGATCCGTATTCAGCTCGGCTAGACGAGAGCGATAATCGGCCGCCGAGCCTACCGGAAGCTCTGTTCTAGACGTTCGTTTCGCGATCGGTTCATCTTGATAAGAATTAGGGTCGACCACCGAGGCCACCAATGCCGCCGGAAGCTCTGTTCTGAGCGTTGTGTCCTTACTCGGCTCGTCTCGATACGGACGAGGATCGGTCGCCGTGGCCACCGGAAGCTCTGTTATGGTCTTTGAGTCCGACTTCGGCTCATCTAGACAAGAACTAGGATCCGCTTCAAGTTCCTCCGTCTGAAGGGGGACATCCACCGTGTCATGCTTTGGGCTCGTGTTGTCGATAGCAGGTAGTGGTACGATGATTGGCCTCTCCGAACGGCCGTCAATCCACATGATTGCTAAAAACGCAAGAACAGCTAAGATAACCGCAACTATGGCGGCTCCTGCAATAGCATTGCTCGAGGTCTCTTTAGCCATGGGCATCGCTGTCGGCGGTGCTGTCGGCGTTCCCGTGGGGATAGCTGTGATCTTCGCTGTGGGCACGAAGAAAGTCTTGACTTCCTCCGATGACCATGACACGGAACTAACACCCCTAAATCTGGTATTCAGCTATTGTTTCGACTCTTCACGACTGCAGACTTACTTCTCACGGTACCAGCGTTGAATTTCTTCATGGCTGCGATAAGCACCAGCGCTGGCGTTGTACTCGTTTTTCCAAGTCCACTCCGCCAAGTCGAACAAGCCAAGCCCTTGTGGCCACGGGTCTCTAAGAGCCCATCTTCCAGATTCGCAGCACTCTTGCTTGTGGTCCTTCCACCAACAACAACCAACTGTCGATTTCCTACTACTGCACAGTGGTGATCGGTTCGTGGGGATACGTCGTCGAATTGCACCTGTCTCCAGACAAACCCCGGTAGACTCAATACGAAGACATCGCTGTATGCTCTGTTAGAGGATCCAGCTGTCCCGCAGAATAAGAATCTGCCTTTGTCAACACTTGTAATGAGTCGTAACATTGGTCCATTCTACTTACATCTCATACGTAGTTTCGCTCTTGAGCCCCACCATGCAGAACCACTGTCGTCTGGTCGGAGCAGATCCTGTAGTCGTTTGGCTATACCATTTCTTGGAGACCGGATCCATGAACGTAATGTTGGAAATATCCATCCATTGGTAGAGGCTATCACTTCCGCTTACAATTGGCTCCAAAGTTGCCATGAAGCCACCGAGGAGCACGATTATACCATTTGGCCCAAAGTCAGGGACACATAGTGCTCTTGCGATGGAAAGAATCTTTGCGAGCTCTGCCAGATATTGGCCCTTTTGGCCCTTTCTCCGGAAACCTCTGCGTCGCCATCAAAGTTCAGAACCTCTGCGGTTGAGGGCCGCCTCCGACCTTTGCGGCCGACCTCTGCGGTCGACCTTGCCAGCTAGCGCCGCCACGTAAATATATCGCTCAGCTTGTCGTCAGTAAGTAGCGGCAACTTACCTATCCCGAATTATATAGCGGTTTTCGTATCGAAATCACTATATTAAGTTGAGCGCGTGCTTAGGGCACATTGTGCGTACCGTAAAGTTAAAAAGTGTACCGTATCGTGTGATTTCCCTTGAAAGCCTGATCCCGTTAAGGTCGATCTTTTGCGCCTGTAAAGCCGGAAAAAAACCACCACATAGTGCTCTTGCACCTCTCACTGTCCCATAGGGAGGAAACGCATTTCTCAACGCGGCTGTCTCATTCGACCACTGGTTGGTATTCCAATCGTAAACAACCATGCCTGGAGTTGCTCCAGCTGGGGCTAACTCTGCATCGCCGTTAGTCGCGTTCACCTTCGTACGAGTTCCCGCCCAGCCCCCGAACCAAAAGCAACCGTGAGGAGTACTGCCAAACGCTCCGTCCTCACTCCTCACTAGCTCTGAGAACTCCGTGGGGTTGACGGGGGTCTCTTTCGTCCATTGGCCACCACCACTACCATCGGCTTGGAACTTCCAAATTCCAGTAGCCAGCGATTCGTCCTTGAGGTAAAGGGTGTTGGCGGTGTGTCCTCCCCATATGTAAAATGAGTCGTTGTCAGCCCTTTCCCACAATGCTTGCCTATCTATGGCGTACGGTTCTTTCAGTATTTCTCGGATTGAAACGTTGGCGGGGGACCATGATTCCGACAAGTCGATTGAAAGGGTAGAATTGACTACGTTACCACTCTGTCAGAGAAGTGTCGAAATACGAGGAGATAGGGTCACTCAGTTACTGACCCGGATGGGAGCCATGAGTTTGGTTTACTTCGTAATCAAAGAAAGTATATGGCTTTCCTTCGGCGTCGAGTTGAGAGACCTCTCCGCCATCGATGTAGAGAAAATTACCGATGACAGCAACTGAGGTCACATCAAGTATTAGCCGATCGTTCTTCTAAGACGTTACAATGAGCCAGGTGTCGTCTACGTACCATTAGATAGGCCTCTTCGAAGGATGAGATCCGGAGCTGGTACATCAGAGAGTTCCCATGCGTGAACTTCAAGCAAGAATCGAATCTCCAAAAGCAGATGAGCATTCCTTCTAAAGTACCGAAACAACATGTTGACTCTAGGTTACGTTGATTCTAAGTTAGAGACGTCAACAAAACGTTATTAGTATCTGTATGAATGGTTCAGGTAGACTTCAGACAGAAGAGCTTGAAAGGGCTTCACTAACGTTGCCGCATGCCGTGGCAAAAATAGAACGGGAGACACCTCTCGTTGATCAGGGGATACTACACGATTGATATCAACCATGGACGCGGATCATTTCGACACGTGATCTCCGTACAGTAGTACAGTGATGTATCGCACAGGCACGGTAAGGGTCGAGACCTCAATTCCTTCGCTGCAAAGAGCCTCTGGCGAGCTTGAGATTTATTCGGTGTAACCATGCCATATCATTACATCTCCAATGAAGCCACACTTCTTAAATACATTCAAATTGGCGTCACGCTTTGTACGACTGAAGCAGATAGGTAGGTTCGGTCCGTTCAAGGGTCATTGACGCACTCTCCCGCTCGCATCCCAAGGCGGCTATGCAGCCAAGACGGCATTTCTATTCCAAGTCGTAGGTCGTACATGAGCATTCTAAAAACATCATGGTACTGATGATCGTGCCTTTAACTTGGTTTTGTATGACTGAGTCATGACTGAGTAACGCTCTACATCTAAGTTGACCGCTTACTATATGTTCATCCTAGAAAACTGCAAGCCCATCCTATACACATATAAGGATGGCAGAATATGCATGGTCTTTCCTTCCTAATGTTGATGATCAAAATGCACAGCAACCTTTGGGTCCCTTCGTCTTTCTACAGGCTCAATGCCCCAATGCTTTAAGATGACGTTTGACAAGAGTGTTTCCGACATGTTTTTAATGACTCATCGCGAGGATTCGGGCCCACTGGTAGCCTAATTGTGCCCTTCTACTGCGAAATAGGAAGATAGAAAGAAGGCAAAATATAGTGACGACAGCTAGGAATGGGATGGCAGTGTCCCTGCAATAAACGTGTCTACGTTTTATCTCACTCGAACAAGGCCCCACGACACACACACGTCCGACAATGACTCAGCTAGGAATCGAGACCTAGCGATGGCAATTCAGAGACCACTTTTTGGTGGTATGGAAAGAAACAAAACTTCAAAAGATTTGAGGGGAAAATTCTCATTGTAGGTTTTATTCTCGTCGTCGAACTTCCAGATCTACCGACATATCAACGCTCATGGTGTTCCAAGCCTTCATTTTGCACTCAATCCAGAGGTTCAGTACTTAAAGTCTTGGCTCAATTGTGGTCACCTTCCATAAGATGGCTGACACCCGATTTCGACTTCTCGCGACTGAAAAGTATAGCTCGTTGCAAATTCAAAACCGGAGTCTAAATGGACCCATGCAAATTCGGACATCAGAAGAAGCCGTCCTACGTGAGCTTCATGTACATCCCCTACCTAAGGTAATTAAGTACCTAAGTGATTCAAGGACTTGTTATCCGAATCAACTCTCGCCTTCCCCCTATGACTTGACTTTCATCCCTTGAAACCACTTAGAATTCACACAGTCTGACGCCTGCAACTCCGTCATGCATGAAGCTACTTACTAACTTGTAGTGATGATGAAGACAATCACACAATCACCGAGGAACTATGCTCTACAGACTACGGGTGCATCATCGCATGATCAATGGAACAGCGAACGAGGCCGTGTAATACTGGTGGATTGATACTCACTTTTGCGGTGAGATGAACCAGTCAAGATCGTCAGTTGACCATCGGAAGTTTGCCCCTAGTGGTCCTGGGCGCATTAATAGTAGACGTTGCGCCAAACATGGTTCAGACGACGATCAAACCGCAACTGACCGATCTATCCGTTCGGATGACACATGTCATGATCCGAACCCGATGGAGTCTGGGGAGAGTTCAGCCGCAAAACTAGTAGTGATTCGATGGCGACCGTGCTATTTCCATTGCCAAGTTTCAGGCACTCAGGGAATGACTTCAGATTTGCTGGTACTCGTCTCACGGGCAAGTGTCACGATGCCGGTGCCGGCGGGATGCCCAATTGACAGGGGACCAATGTCCACAAAGACGAAACTCTGTCAGTCGAGACATTCAGCGAGACTGGGTATTTAAAGACTCGTTGCCTCTAGGCTAAGAGGCTCTCGATTCTTCATCAATCGTTCTCTTGTCAATCTACAGTGCATGCACATTCGCTTCAACGACCTGGAGTCGCATTTTATTTCAACATCTTTCTTTAATCATCAACTAAGCTTACACTCGCAACAATGGTCCGCATCACTCTCTTCGCCACTCTCGCTTGTAAGTACTATTCAATCTAGCGGACCCCCCGATCAGAGTATTGCTGCTAACCCCGTCGCGACTCAGTTGCGATGACCGCACTCGCAATCACCCCCAACAACGCCGGTGCCAAGAACGTCGGCCAGGGCAACGGAGCTCAGTTCATCACCGGAGGCTGTGTCGACAACGCCGATTGCTCCTCGGCATGCTGCGCGGATGCCAGCGGCGTCGGCGTCTGCTCGGCCGAGGCCGCACAGTTCCAGAACGGCAAGAACGGCTGCAACTTTGTCGACCCCAACAAGGCGGCAACCATTGCTGCTGCCAAGGCTCAGGTTGCAAAGCAGGGCTTCTAAGCTGGAACGCAGAGGCCCTAGCAGCTATGATGGAAGGTGGATTTGGAGGAACGCCTGGCCATACCTTGGTCCATAGAAAGTGACTTGGACTATAGCGTGAGCCAGAGGATGGAGAAGTACTGTACTCGATGGCTTGTAGCACTGCCAATCCTGCTTAGGAATCGTAAAATCTACTGGACCGTCCAAGAATGTCCCATGAATATCATGTCGTTGTGAGCTCATCTGCTCTCCTGTCTATTCTAATCACCTTTTGCCTCAAGATCGTCACATTTCCAGTTCTTTGAATGGCACATATGGTGTGAATGCGTGAATAATCAACTTACTATCCTTCGAGCACCATGCTATGCGGTTTACTCTGCTGTTAAAATCCTGCCGTGGTAAATGTATGTCTAAGTAAGTATGGGAAGCAACTTACTCCCGCCCAATTGTGGAACTTCCCAGTTGAGCCATTTAAGGAAGCTGCGAGGTTTAAAATCCTTAAGCGAAGGTTCGTGCCAAGATCGTGTTATGGCTCCAGGCCGGGCATCTTGCCAAGCACTAGAACATCGCCCAGACCTTGGTGGGTGTGGAACTTCCTAAATAGCAATGGACCTTTTGCGAAAAGGCAGACTGTGCTTACTTATACGTCAATGGCGTGACTAGGATATTTCATGGCGAGCATGAATGAATGAAGTCACATCTGTTCTGACCCTCCTACTGACGCGCGATGGTGGAAGGCTCAACAGCCGAACCTAAACTGAATGAGGCAGCTGCGATGAGCTTAATGCCTTGGCGACCCAGATAAGCTTAAACGCAATAGTCCTCCTGCCCCATGCTTCTCTTCGCTCCGACGTAATGTCACCATGCACACAAACCACCATATAATTATGTTCTGGCCCGCTGATCACTGCAACCCGGGGCACCCGGGGGCCGATGCAGATGCCTTTTTCAGCAATTACCAGACCGGAGGCTTCTGCGGCCCAGCCCGGAAGCGCGGGTGATCCCCCGCAACTATAGGGTGACGCCTGTCGAGTTGGTTATTCTTGCCTTTCGTCTGATATTGCAGTCCAGGGCAATGGGGCGTGAAGTACCCAGTGCCTAGAATGCATGAGGTTTTCGCCAATTTCTTATACGAACCTTGGAAAGAGCGGGACAGAAGTTTCTTGGAAGGAACGACCAGTCCTCCTTCCAAAAACGCACCCACCGTATAAATATTGGCCACCCACTCCACCTCGTCTACAACTTCCTTTCTTCTCTTCTTCACCCACGAGCTTCTCCCTCAAGCCGTCTGTCAACTTCACTTCCTCACTCATTCATCTTCAAGTTCGTTACCTTCCATCATCAACGGCTTCAAGGTAAACAAGAGCCATCATGCGCTTCAGCACTACTCTCGCCGTCGTGGCGGCTTCCTGCGGCCTCGCCGCCGCGGCCCCCGCGACTGGCGACGTTCAGGTCAACCCTGGTCTGCGCCTCGTCAAGACCTATGATGAGGATCCCGGAACCTGGGTCACTGAGGATGAGAAGTACGAGAAGTACACCTCCAAGGGCATTGGCTTCATCGATATCACCGATGTCTCCGTAAGTAATGCTCGGGAAATATTCTCACACAGATCATGAAGCAGGAGCTGATCAAACGTCCAGGATGAGGAAGTCTTGAACGCTCTCTCGACCGGTGGCAACCATCTGGCTTCCCGTCAGACTGTCGTCTACCCGACCACTCTCAGCCACGTCACCGAGGCCAACTCTCTCATCACCAGAGTCAGCAACACCAACCCTCAGACTTGGCTTCGCACCTTAACCAAGTGAGTCTTGGTGCATGTTCCTCTTATACTTGATCGGGGATGCTAACCGATTTCCTCAGCTTCCAAAACCGTCACTACCGCTCTACTTACGGCACCGAGGCCTCCACCTGGCTCTACAACCAGGCTGTCAGTATCGCCTCCGGCTACTCTGCCATCACCGTCTCTCGCTTCACCCACTCCTTCAACCAGCCTTCCATCATCGTCAAGTACCCCGGTACTAGCTCCAACCTGAGTAAGTCGACAATTGAGTATCAAAACTTTGCTCAAGACCTTTTCCCTCCTAGAAAACCCCAACTAACAACTTATTCCCAGTCATCGTTGGTGCTCACTACGATTCTACCGCTGGTTCCACCACTGCCCGCGCTCCTGGTGCCGATGACAATGGTACCGGCACTGTCAACTTACTTGAGGCCCTCCGCGTTCTCGTCGCTGCTGGTTTCCGCCCCCAGAACACCATCGAGTTCCACTTCTATGCTGGTGAGGAGGGTGGTCTTCTTGGCTCCCAGGCTGTCTTTGCCAACTACAAATCTGCGGGCAAGCGTGTCCTCGGTATGCTGAACCAGGACATGACTGGCTACTCTCCTGGTGGCAAAGCCACTGTGTACACCGACTATGTCGACACGGCTTTCACTGCCTACGTTCGCCTCGTCACCACCCAGTACACTGGCGCTGCTCCCTCCAGCTCTTCCTGTGGCTATGGCTGCTCTGATCACGCCAGTGCCCGATCCAACGGTTTCCGTAAGTTAAGCTTTCGCCTTCTTATAGTGGCTCTGTACTAATGTGCAATCAACAGCTGCTGCCTTTGTCAACGAGGAGCCCTTCAGCACCTCCAACCCCAAGATCCACACTTCCAGCGACGTAAGTCAGACAGATCATTGACCCTCAATAAGACAAATTGTCTCACATTTTCACAGACCTATGAGAGCGTTCAGTGGAACGCCATTCTCCGTCACTCCAAGCTCACGGTGGGCTTCCTCGTCGAGGCGTCTTATCTGGCTTAGGATGTCAGAGCCATTTGGTGCATCACGCCCGACCGTCGTCGCCCTTGCCCTAGGAAATTGAGCTCAGGTGAGCATCTTTGGAAGAAGACTTTTGCTCCTTTCCGGACTCTTTCCAACTCCTTCAGAGTACATATTCAATCAGTGAACATTCAATGCTGAACAGGGCGTGTCTACGCTCATAGTAACAGAAGCAATTCATCACATAGGCCAAAAGCCTTTGCAAGCATCAAGTTCCAGTATCTACCAAAGTCCCCCTCTTGCAGTCGTGAACCCAGTGACTCGTACCCAATAAATAACCCCTTGCAGTCCCCATTTTCTTCAGCCTAAACAAGCAGGTCATTGACGAAACCCCAAGATGTCAGATTCGGAGTAGCTTAAAGCCGTGCCGCATGCTGACATCCCATGCCCTTTCTCCTTCCAAGATCCTTTGCTAACACCCCTTCTCTCAACTTCGCATCAGCGCAAAGACGACATCATGCGGATTCTCCAGGCTTTCAGTCTTCTGGCCATTGGCGGATTGGTCACTAGCCAAAGGGCCGCTCTCAGCAATTGCCCTTTACTTGGGCCAGCCTACCCTCTTCCAAACCTTCATAAGTCACAAGTGATCAAATACACGCAGGAGTCATTCGCAAAACTCATCCAGGATGCGATCTCAACCGGTGAAACCGAATTGGGCAAAATAAATACCGCCACTGCCTCGTTTTCAATCGGTATATTCTCGGCAGATTCGGATGAGTTCCTCTACGAGTATCATCATCAGGGGACCGAGCTCAAGGGGGCGGTTACCGGGGGCTCATTGGATTCGGATACATTGTACCGCATCGGAAGCGTCACGAAACTGTTGACCGTGTACACCATTCTCGTCAAGCTGGGCACTACGTACTGGAACGATCCGATCACCAAGTTTATCCCGGAGCTTGCTGACGTGCCGGCAAGGCGCCGGGGGCATCGCGTGCAATGGTCTGAGGTGACTTTGGGAGGTTTAGCCAGCCACATGAGTGGTATCGCGCGCAATAGTAAGACGACCGCCTGTCTCTGTGATCATCCTTAGCTCATTATGCTCAGATCACTTCGTCGACCTATCTGGTATACCTGGTATCAAGGATATGGGACTCCCCTACCTGAACGATTCCGACATCGTCAAGTGCGGTCTGCCGGAGATGCGACCTTGTACTAGAGAGGGTGGGCCAATCTTCACGTTTCTCTTTGATATGCTCCTGGCTAACCCGGGTCATATATAGAAGTTTTCAATTCCTTGCTGGAGCAGTATCCCGCTACGTCAACTTGGCACACCCCAGTGTACAGCAATGAGGCCTTCCAGCTCATCGGGTGGGCGTTCGAGAACATCACAGGCGGTTCCGTAGGAGATGTCTTCAAGAATGCTATTGCAGAGCCTCTGGGGCTGTCTCGAACTTTTTGGGATCCGCCCAAAGACGACCCAAATGCCAATGTTGTTGATCTCGACCCGTCGGCGATGAAGTCGTTGATAGGCTACCCTTTTCAAGAGGGACTGGCCTCATATACCCCGTAAGATCAATTATTAGCAGTCAAATCTTGATACTGTTTACTTGTTGATTGGAGCTGACCAAGTCCTCAGGACCGGCGGCGTCTATTCTTCCTTGAGCGATCTTTCTGCCATCGGCCGCTCCATCCTCAACTCGACTATCCTACCCAAAGCAATGACCCGCGAATGGCTCCGACCGGTAACGCACACTCAGCACACCCACAGTGCGGTTGGAAGACCATGGGAGATCACCCGGATGGACGTCGCTGCAACTCCCGGCTCGAAGCACACCCGGCTCGTAGATCTATACACCAAGAACGGGGGCATCGGTGCCTACCTGACCTACCTCATCCTCTCGCCCGACCATAATATCGGCTTCACCCTCCTGACGGCTTCCAAGACCGCCTACGGTGATGGCATCCCCGACTCTACGTTCGACGTCCTCAGTGAGTTGCTCTTGGAAAAGTGGATACCCGCCGCCGAGGCCGCGGGCCGGGAGGCGGCGGGTGAGGACCTTGCTAGCACTTATGTGGCCGAAGACGGATCGGAGTCTCGGGCTGAGGTGACGCTCGTCCCCGGCAGACTCGGTTTGTCGCTCCAAAAACTCGTGCTCAACGGCGCGGACTTCTTTTCGAAGGTCGGCGGGAAACTTGGTTTTCAGGGTGCGGATCTACAGTTCATGGGTCTTCAAGACAATGGTGAGATTGCGTTCCGTGCCGTATTTTCGAGTCCTGATGTGGCGCCTTCAGGCCGGGAGCCCATTCTGGGGAAGAAGTGCGGGTCGACCTGGGGAGGTGCTGGATCGCTTACATACGGTAACATTGCTATCGATGAGGTTCTCTTCACTGTGGGCGAAGACGGAAAGGCAACGAGTATAAGCTTCCCCGCGTTGCGTGTAGAATTTGCTAGGGAATCGGCCAAGACATCGACCAGAGCGAAAGAGAACAGTGTCTTTGAAGAATTATGATTTAGTCAATATTCTTAGGGTATTGCACTCAAGTCAAGACACCTGATGGTTATATCCCAGAGCCCTCGGCCACTCCCAATCATAGATCTCATCAAATCTCATCAGCCTCTATTCAAGCTCTCCCTAGTTCACGCTCCCAATGCAACACCACGCCAAAATGACAAAACAGTTATCAAAGAAACGACCCATCTACGCGCGGTACTGGTTCCAGAAGCTGTACATGCGAGTCTGCTGGTTGGGAGTGAACTCCTCGTAGCAAGAGTCGTAGGAGTAGTCCATGTAGTTGTGGATGGGGTCAAGACCAGCCTGGCTAGGGCAGGAGTCACGACCGGTGGGGCATCCGGTGGAAAAGCTGGCCTGGGCGGGGGTGTCGGCAATGGAGTCACCTTCGCCGGTGCAGCCGCCCTGGAAGGTGTGGTAGAGACCGAACCAGTGGCCGACCTCGTGGGTGACGGTCTTGCCGAGGTTGTAGTTGGTCTCGCTGCCGCCGGGCACGGTGGAGGAGAGGATGGTGCAGCCGTCGCGGATGTAGGCGGTCGAGCCGGCGGCGGCGGTGGTGGGGAAGTAGCAGTACCCAAAGTCGCCGCCGAGGGTGCGGACGAAGTAGAGGTTGAGGTCCTTGTAGGTACCCTTGCGGAGGGCACGCTTCATGGCCATCTCATCGCCATCCTGGGCCCAGTTGGAGTTGATGGTACGGGTGGTCTCAACTAGGGTGTAGCTGATGCCGTGGGGGGCAAAGTCACTGTTCATGACGGCCAGCTGGTCAGCCAGCATCTTATCCTATTGAAGCTGTTAGGTATGGGCAGTACAAGTATAAGGAATTATGTCAATACTTACAGTGATGTAGCCGTTTGCCACGGTCTGTGAGGAGGCAACAACGTGGAAGTAGACGTTGACATTGATGGTGGCCGCCGCCATCAGGCTCATGGTGCCATTATTCGCAGCCTCCTCCTCGGCAAGCTTCTTGGAGATCTCAATGTGCTCAGGGGTAGGATCATGAGTACCACAGCCGAGACGGGCGGGGGTAACGGCGGCGGAGGCGGCAGCGGCAAGGGCCGCAACGACAGAAAGCTTGAACTGCATGATGACGAGCTAGACCGATTGGATCGAGGCTTGGACAAGGGGACCGGGACTTGATAGAGCTGAGAGGGATGGGGGGCAAGAGACAAGAAGGACCTTGATGGTGGAGGATTGGTCATACATATATACTCGAAGGCATTCTCTCGAGTGTGTCTCGATATTTCTCGTTCTATGATACATGGTAATGGGTTCGGGAGTCAGTCGGGAGCTAAGATGTTTGCGACCTTCCGGATCGGTTCAAGACAACTTTTGGCTCTGACAGTCGAGGTAAACTTGGAGCAAAGGACAAGTTTTGAAATGAAGAAAACTGGATGCGCGGGAATGAAGTTCATGGGGTAAGCAAGAATGCCTTCCTCATTGAGGTTGAACTGAGAATCTCAATATAGGCGACGGGCCATTCAACGAGGCCGGGTACGGCGTGGACAGCGGGATTGAGCCACCTGGGGAAAGGCTTGTGGTTCTGATTCGTGGACTCTGAAATACGACGATCTTGGCATGCCAAAGGCCATATCGAGCTGAGCTGAGGATTTGAGGCGATGCTTGATGCTTCCTCGGGTCCTGGTTGGGTAGCGTTGGATGCACGAGTTGCATGAGTCGGAAGAGGCCGAGAAGCGCTGGAACACGACAGAGCACCCGCACAAGTTACAACCATATCCAGGGCCGATAAGAGATCCGATGATCTCGGTACGTCGATGGTCCACGGCCCAGCGAGACCGGACGGTCATTGACACCCCTCGGAGATGAAGCTGGGAGGACGAGTAAGCTTTGAAAGCCGGCGCTAGCGGGGTGCGGTGGTATCGCGACATTAAACGCTCCGTTCAACGTGCATGCCAAGCTCTCGCCAAGACGGCCAATCATCCAACCAGGGCAGCACCGTTCAACCTCCCTATTTGGGCTTAATCAAGTTATTCCGATCGCGTCTGTAGGGATTGACTCAGTTGAGACACTTTTGCTCAATAGACTACTCTTAGTACTTGTCGTGGCGGACTGCCTACTGTCGACGATGAGAAGATGTCTTGGCCCTTGGGTCGCCTTGGGCAAATGGGGTTCTTGAGCAGCATCCACCACGACGATCTGCCTTGCAGACAGCAAAGCCAAAGAGATATGTGATGTCAGAACAACCTTCTGTTTTCGTCGAGGGACTTTTGAGAAGAAACGGGGCATCGGTGTAGGGTTGCACAGACAAGCCAGAGTCTTGGCTTTGTCAAGTTAATGCACTATTGGCAAGCATGGCCAGGACGGGCAACTGAAATAGTAGGGAATGGATTGATCGGCAGAGCTTCGCCCATCACCTCCTTGCCAACGGCCCATTGCCATGGCCTCACCGTCCCTGAGATTTCGAGTGATCATGACGGAGGAGTTCGCCGCAGATGGCATCCCAGAGATTCGAACATTCGATACGAGGGACCGATCACTCGACGGGTGCAGTGCATATCTTGACTCGCTACAAGCTGACTGGCTGTTCACCAGGTCGTTACTCAACGACTCGAAATTCCTGACTCCCCTCAAGAAACTAAGCTGTGGCACAAAGTCCAGTTGGATTACGAGCAAGCAGTTCAGGCGTTGCACATACTCAAAGAGAGATCGAGAGGCCGCCTCAGGCGCTTTGCCCTTGCGCCAGTCTGACTTTGCCTATTCCTCTATCACTCGCCAGCCCGGGTAGAGCCAAAGAACTTCCCAGGCAACGTTGAAACCAGAAACAGGCGTACACTAAATATGCCCGCTCCAACAGTGTCAATCATCGAGAATCTTTCCAGACTGAAGTGAACGACGGTTAAGGTCTGGGATCATCCGCTGTGGTGGAAAGAAAAGATGGGATGAAGAGCAGGAACAGGCCAGGGGCAGAAAACCCTCGGAGTAAGCTTAATTTTCGGTCCGGCTCATCTCACCACCGTCACCGGCCAAGGTGAACGGAGTATCGAGGTGAGGACTCGGCAGACAAGGTGTGTCTCGGTGAATAATCAGACGCAAGCCACAAAAGCACAGGCCAGCCGGGAGGACCCCTCCACCACGTGAGTGCGCAGCTGTGGCGCCTGGGATTTCGCGTCGCTGCCTATTGGAGAGGCGCGCCGCGCGACGGCCACTTAAACCCCAATGTCGACGGCGGGCACTACGATTTGATTTCTCCCCTCCAATTCAAGAAGCATTGGACCCCAATGTCACAGTAGAGTTTCCGCCGACCGAGGAGTCTCACCAGTGCACACTGTCGACCTAGGATTGACCCGTTGGTCCGCTCGATATCATGCCCGACTTCACAGGTAATCCTTCCTTCTCCTCCCCAGACTACGTACCGCCAGACAGCTCTAACTCACGTATAGAAGCGGACACTATCCGCATTCTGGTCGCGACAGATAACCATGTCGGCTACGAGGAGCGAGACCCGATCCGCAAGGACGACAGCTGGAAGACGTTCGACGAGATTCTGAACCTCGCCAAGAGCCAAGATGTACGCAGATGCCTCGCCCCAAAGTGGTGCTTCGCCGGCTGACAAGGAGCATAGGTCGACATGGTGCTGTTAGGCGGCGATCTCTTCCACGACAATAAGCCCTCCCGAAAGTCCATGTACCAGGTCATGCGCAGTCTTCGCAAAAACTGCTTAGGCATGAAGCCCTGCGAGCTCGAGTTCCTAAGCGACGCGAACGAAGTCTTTGAGGGTGCCTTCCCCCACGTCAACTACGAAGACCCCGATATCAACATCTCCATACCCGTCTTTTCGATCCACGGAAACCACGATGATCCCAGCGGCGAGGGCCACTTCTGTTCACTAGACTTGCTCCAGGTTGCTGGGCTGGTCAACTACTTTGGTCGCATTGCCGAGGCCGACAACATCGAGGCCAAGCCGGTATTACTACAAAAGGGCCAGACCAAGCTTGCGCTATTCGGCTTGAGCAATGTTCGTGACGAGCGTATGTTCCGAACATTCAGGGACCATAAGGTCAAGTGGTTCCGCCCGGGTGTCCAGCAGTCAGACTGGTTCAACCTGCTCACCGTACATCAAAATCACCACGCACATACCGCAACATCATATCTTCCCGAAAATGTGCTACCCGACTGGATGGACCTTGTAGTCTGGGGCCATGAGCACGAATGCTTGATTGACCCTCAGCAGAACCCAGAGACCGGCTTCCACGTCATGCAACCCGGCTCCTCGGTAGCGACATCTCTGGTTCCGGGTGAGGCGGTGCCAAAGCATGTGGCAATTTTGAACATTACAGGCAGAGAGTTCAAGGTCGAGAAACTGCCATTGAAGACCGTGCGCCCGTTCATTACGAAGGAGATTCAATTATCTACCGATGCGCGGTTTAAGGGGCTGCACACGAAGAAAGAAAACAGACAGGAGTTAACCAAGAGATTAATGGTGGTTGTCGACGAGATGATTCAAGAAGCAAATGAGGAGTGGTTCGCTGTCCAGGACAATGACGAGGAGGAACCTCCACTACCCTTGATCCGGCTCAAAGTGGAGTATACGGCTCCGGAGGGTGGTCAATACGACTGCGAGAACCCCCAGCGGTTCTCAAACAGGTTCATCGGCAAGGTGGCAAACACCAACGATGTGGTGTACTTTCACCGCAAGAAGGCTGGTGCCACAAGTAAGCTATGCTGTTTTCCAAAATCTGGTTCACTGATACTGATGCTACGCAGGACGAACTAACGACACGGACATTCCCGAGGCTCTCGAGGAAACACTGGGTCTGGACACCATCAAAGTGGAGGCCCTTGTCCAGGAGTTCCTCGCAGCCCAGTCTCTCAAGATTCTGCCAACGGCACCATTCGGCGATGCCGTCAACCAGTTCGTCAACAAGGACGACAAGCATGCGATGGAGGAGTTTGTTAGCGAATCGTTGGCAGGCCAGGTGAAACAAATGCTCAACCTTGACTCCGACGAGGATGACCTTGACGTTGCGATGGAGGCGTACCGGGCGAAGCTCGAGGAGGCTTTCTCCAAGGGGGCCCCGAAGAAGGCTTCCAGGCGTACTGTCAAACCGAAGCCAGACGATTGGGACTCCGACCTTGATGGACACTGGGAGGATCAGCCTGGAGTTGTTGAGACTGAGGCCGTCGCTCAGCCTATAGCCAAACCGCGAAGGACCGCTACCCAGGATGACGAAGATGATTTGATGGACGAGGACGAACCACCCGTCCGTCAAGCGCCTGCGAAGAAAGCAGCGGCCACTCGAGCTACGAAGGCTGCCCCAGCAAAGAAAGCCCCGGCGAAGAAAGCTCCAGCCAAGAAGCCGCCTGCGCGAGGTCGCAAGAAGCCCGTCTTTGAAGAAGAGTCAGAGGAAGAGGACGTGGTGATGGACGACGACTTTGAGGAGCCGCCGCCGCCGCCGCCACCGACTACTCGGGGCAAGCGATCTCAGCCTGCACGTGCGGCCCCGAAGACCACCCGGCAGACCAAGCTCAACTTCTCGCAGGCTACGGCCTCTCAAGCCGCTGTCGAGATCAGCGATGATGAGATTTCGGACGAGGATGCGTTCGAGCCGGCGCCGACCACCACCCGTAGCAGACGAAGATAGTTGTTGAGATCATGAGAGGGTCTGGTATGATGTGATGGAGAAGTTGCCGGGATTTTTGATGGTTTCTCTCGCAATGCATGGTTAGCCACTTGGAGTCGGGGAGCGGGATTTTGCTTTGATTTAGATCGATGAACCAAGATACCACGTCGCCAATGATAAAAGTTTGACTCTGACCACACGTTCTTCGTTGAAGTTCTCTGTCGTTTTGTTTACTTTGTGCCTTGTCATGTTCTTCTGTTTTTGGTGAACTATGTTTACCAGATGATTGAGCTTCGGTTTACGCAAACACCTAGAATTCTCAAGTCTGAATATGAGCATTATCCGGGCTAAGCATTGGGCTCGACTTCCAGTAGAGCCATAGTAGCAGCCGCCATCTATTCTGCGGGATGATTATTAGCTATTGCTTCATAGATTGAGTCGTCATAGATTCCGTTATTGTCTAGATCGTCAAGTTGCCTATTGCAAAGTGAATGTAAGTATATAGCGGGAGCGTACAGGACTTCCGTTTCTGGACGCCATTGTCCGGTACGATTTTGCGAACGTCATCAAAGTGGCATTAGTCTTCACTCATTGGTCAAAGAACTGGGAATAAAATCAAGCCTTCCGCTAAGCCATAGAACACCGTGTTCTGGCCGAGTTTCGGACGCAAGCCAGTTGGGATGCTTGCCTATCGCCAATAGGGGTATTCAACAGGTAGCTGCGTAACAGCCAACACTTCAGGATTCCTTCGCTGGGACCTACAGATCCGAAAATTCCATGGCACTGTTGGACCCATGGATACAGGTGCGCAGCCTTACGCGACGTCTTAATCCATCTATGCAGGACGGGTTCTCCGTTAGTTATCCGAGTGCATGGTTTCGATCAGTAAGCTATTCTACAGTGCTGTTTTCCAACTGCCACGAGCCGTTCGTTCTCCTTCTGCGGTGCATCATGGGCGAATATCCGTCCAGAGACATTGAGAGAGGCCCATGTCTTGATAAGGACGATATGACCATGAAGCTCAACTAGGCACTTGGTCGCTAACGTTCTAACCAGGTAGTTACCGATGCACGTTTGGTGGAAGTTCTACTCTGCTATCACGATAGCTTCATGGAGAATGAAGCACGGTACCAAATCAAAGACAATCTTCTTGACGAACGGAGGTTGAGAGGGAGCAGCCTAAGGGGCTATCCGGGCAGTCCCGGATCTCAAGTGACTGAAAAGAGGGCCCTGAGCTCATTCGACAGGATCATCAGTCACGAAATGAGTCCTTACATAATTAACAGCATGGTTAGGAAGATTGATACGAAATCAGATGATGCAATTACAGTTTCTCTCTGTGCCCGGACGATAGAGGCCGATCGCGAGTTGGAAAAGATGCTCGACACATCTAGTAGTAAATTATGCTGACGAAAACCTTGAGCTCGGAGAGGAATGAAGTAGAAGAAAGCGACAAGTCTCCCCTAATGAGTTGAATTGGAACTACTATGGGCGGCGGTGGCTTGAGATAAAAGGATATGAAAACTCAGTGTTTGCCATTCATATGAATGGAACCGAAAAGGGGCCATGAAAAGGGTAAGCGCGATTTGGTGAAAACTTCGGCATTACCAGCTTCAACATCTGGCCGAAGTAATTGGAATCCAGTGACTATTAGCAAACTCATATCTTCGGTCCAACGCAGAGTTGCCGTCACGGTCCTCTACGAAATCGCGGCCGCAAACCAAGAATCAAGAGGCACGGCGCAAGATAAGTTGGTTCACAGTGACGTCTCTACCCGCCATCGACGATCCTTCGCTCCTCACCTTGCAAGGTCTTCGTCTGTAATAACGTCTCTCCTCCGTTAGAGAGCGAACAGCGTCCTACTCATGATCCCAAACCCGCGAAACACAAAAGTCTCAATGTCGTCGCAGCCTTCCCACGACTATATTCCAATAGTACCAGTCTCCAGACATCTCTTTTGGCATTATACAAAGTCCACCGCATGTCCGTCTCCAACCATCACAAACCGGAAGGGAAACGCCTCACCCCGAGGCATACCTTGCGTACCATATCTACATACGTGCCTAGGCAGGCCGCAAATATATTCATTTGTCTCCAACCTTTCAAGTTTCCTGCGCTCGAGAAGGCGAAAAAGTTCACTATTCTTCTACCTTTTTTTTTTTTTTTTTTTTTGCCTCTGAGCCATCAGAAAAGGGGGTTCAACCAAGGTGCTGACGAAGCCAACACCAGAACGGAGATTGTGACGTCCGGAGTATCCGGGGGCCAAGCTGTAAGAAGCCATGCCGAACTCCCTTTCAGTCTCAAGGAGCACCGGCCCCCGTCCAATACAGATATATGCCCCTTTCTTCACTTCGCAAAGCCGAGCTGGCTTCGAGCAACCCCGTCGAAACGCGGTCTCGATAGCTATAGATCGCGCCATCATGCCCAACATAACTTCAACAGACTCTCCTGATGGTGACTGCGCGTAAAGAAGCCCCTATTTGACGCTCAGTGATTCATTCTCGGTCCTCGAAAATATGCCGTGCGAGTTATATCGAGAAAGACAAACTTCGTAGAGCTGACATCGAGCTTTGAAATCGCCAAGAAGAACTTATCGATCTGATAGACACTGAGCGGTCTCCACAGCAGTCAAGGTTTCGAGGCTGCAGGAAGCCTCATTTAGCATGACTCAATGGCACTCTCACTCATCTTAGAAACTACCAAATGGCACCTTAGATCTAATTCCTCATGGGCGATGTGATGATTGAACATTATTTCCGCTCGGGGGCTTTAGCACCATTCACGTACCGCATGTAGCAGAGCATACGAGACATGAAGCTGTGGTTAGCGCTTCAAAGGACCCTCACAAGAATTCCCTAGCATGAAGAGATGAAGCTTCTTCACAAAGACAAATGGCGTCTTCTTGATGGTTTCAACACCGGGAACTCTCGTCGCACGTCTCGTGTCATCTAATGCGCCCTTTCCACACCCCCTGTCCTCCTCACTCAACCCGCAAACCTCGCGGTTCCAACTGCGACAGCAACGATCTCATTTCGCGGGAGCGAGCCGGGCTTCTCGAAGCGCTCATGCGTGCGAGTGGAGTCGGATGAAGGAGTAAAGATTTTTTTTATTTTTTTGGATGAATCCACTTGAAGCCTAAAGCCGTTGGATCTCATCAGGGGTGCTTGTCTTTCGCCTCTCGGGCAGGAAGACAGTCTGTTGGTCTCGGTAGAATTTCTCGAAGGTCCCGACAATGCCCTTGACGGAGCCAAATCCCTGGTCGTCTCCAAGAGTGGACACGTCCAACGGTCCAGGTCTTCAAGTTCTATTTGTGAAACAGGCATCACTAAACATGGTGGCGGCAGACGGACGTGGCTTATAGCACCTCATAGCATTAGAGCTTGGTGTCCTGCAAGACGTGAGAACGTATTCTGGCACCGAGACTGTCCGTTATGTGGTCGGTTGAGTCAACTTGTCCGGAAGCGTACGAACGGTACAAAATAGAATTATGCTCGCTGGCGTTCGAGCAGGCATGAACGTATCCATACAGGTCAAGTCCACAGGCGTGAGTCCCGCAAGGGGTGCAGGGTATTCCACCTCCCAAGCTTTGGGTGGCCACTGAACTTCGAAAGTAGTTGTCTATTACGGGAGTCGCGGTCGTTTGCCGTCAGGTTCTCGCGAGAAAGATATATCATCTAGGGATTGACCAAAGAATGCCATGTGACCGATCGACCTTTCGAGGAAATAAGGGACCCTCTTCATGGAGTTGGGATCATCTTGCTGAACAGTAAGAAGATGATCGGTTTCACGTCGCATGCAAGCGAAGTACTTGGTAATACAACTTCATTGTGAGGAACCTGGCCGACACACGATCGTGGAACTCGAGTGCTGTGTATGCTGGCGGCTGTACCACGCATGGTACAGAGTACATCAGAGGTGATACCTGGTTGACCACAGCCCCTCGAGTGAACCATGGTCGTGGGCCCCGGCTTGGCCCCATTTGTGTGATGTTTGCTTCCCGCCTTGCATAAGCGGAATATGTAGCCTTTTTCCGCGTGTCACGTCGATCACGTGGTATGAGAATAACTATCGTGAGGAGATCCACTGTCGAAGTAGCCGGGATTGACGTCTCTTTCCATGTCTGGAAGAGAAACCAAGGAGTTCGTATGCAACCAACACCAAGAGATTCCAGGCTCGGGACACGGAGAACAAACATCAATCGGAGGCTTCTCCATCTGGTGACTCAACTGAAGTATAATTGTGAATGCACGTTATGCTGTAGGCAATATATCCTGCATTGTCGCCCTCAGTCTTGATTTCGAGGCGACATTCCCAATATCTTCCCCATGCGTAGAGAGTGCATTATACGCCCAGGCCGTATCTGGTGTGACTCGTGGTACAGTGACGGCTAAGTGTGTTTGGTGAAATGAGAGATGACACTGCCACTTTATTATTAGGAACCCTGTTCAGAGAGACGATACTCGGGAGTTGGGGAACCTCGTAGATGGGGGCCAACACTGAATAGTAAATTATTGGCTGATTAAGAGACGAGAATCGCTGGGCTTGGGCGGCGATTGTGAACCTTGGCCGAGACATTGAACAGGCACTTGCCCGAGAGCTTACAGCGATGAGACGCCTTCTCGGGTGAGTTGCGCAATGTAACTTCGATATACCGGAGCAGCCAAGCTTGTTATTGATATTTAGGAATCAGGTGCCCCTTGTGGAATGTCTTACAGGCCGGGCTTCCAACGTAGCGACCGGTAGGGAGGCTTTTGCTTCGACAAGGAAATTGGGAGGGATGTCAGCTCACACGCAACGCAACCTCGGTCGCTAGTCATCCTCAGGGCTGTTTGACGCGAGTGTACTAGTACCGCGAGTTGGCTCACGGCTGTAACGACGCATACGGAGCGATTCTGAGATCATCGCGTTAAGCATCGAGCGTGGTAATGTAATCACTCTATTGCAGGCTCACAGTTTTGCATCCATCATACATTGTATCCGTTTAAGGCTTGCTTAGTTTGCGCAGCCTTCGGGGAGCGGCT